GCAGCTAAAACAAGGGATGCGCGGACATTTCGCTGGCAGTTTTTGGCTACGGCGGTGAGGATATTTACTTGGCAGTTTGAAGCCAGGGGTGATGATATTTCAATGGCAGTTTTCAGCGAGGGATGCGCAGGTATTCCACTGGCATTTTGAAGCGAGGGCGACGAGGATATGCCATTAGCAGTTTTGAGCGAGGGGTGCGGGGATACTTCGCCGGCAGCGTTAAGCCAGAGGGCCTTGCCTTGCCCAGCCGAAGGCTGCGCATCCAGCGCGGTGCTGCGCCCGTATATATGCTCGCCCCGTGGCGCGGGGCTGGCGGGGGGCCGAGGGGCGAGCTGTCCGTTGTTTACACAGTCTGCCTTTAAGACGTTCAGTCCGACTCCTGATGTAGCTTCTTCAATACGTTTCACTACTAAGACCGTTGGCGCGGTTCAAGTTTAGGATTCCTTAGCATGGCCCTCTACCGAGACTCGAAGTCGGATCCCTCCTTGTTTCTAGGTCACTGTCTAGGAACCCCCGCAGGCATTCAGCATCGTTCCCTAGTAAAAACTCGAAGTAAGCCTCACTCCGAAGACTCTGAGTTCCCAGTACTCTAGCTGGAGAAGAGCTAGGCGAACGCGCCGTTCGATCCTTTCGAAAATTGCCCAGAGATTCCGCGGGCTCGATTTTCGCGCCCTCGGAGTTCATTGCAGGGGAAGCGTTGAGCGAGCGCGCCATGTGACTTTGCGGAAACTGCTCAGAAACTGTGCGGTCTGGATTTCTGCGCTTCGGAAATTCATCGCATGGGAAGCGCTGGGCGAGCGCGCCATTCAACCCTGTGGAACTTGTCCAAAAATTCCGCGGGCTCGATCTTCGTGTCCTCGGAGTTGGTCGCATGGGAAGCGCTGAGCGAGCGCGCCATGTGGCTTTGCGGAAACTGCTCAGAAATTGTGCGGTCTCGGTTTCTGCGCTTCGGAAATTCATCGCAAGGGAAGCGCTGGGCGAGCGCGCCATTCAACCCTGTGGAACTTGCCCAGAAATTCCGCGGGCTCGATCGTCGTGTCCTCGGAGTTCGTCGCATGGGAAGCGCTGAGGGAGCGCGCCATGTGACTTTGCGGAAGCTGCTCAGGAACTTTGCGGTCTCGATTCTCGCGCTTCTGAAGCTCATCGCAGGGGGAGCGCCGGGTCAGCGCGCCATTGAGTCCGGTGGAGAAGGCCCAGAAATTCCGCGGGCCTCGATTTTCACCCCCCGCGGGACTTACACAGAGCGAGCGCGCCATTCAACCCTTTGGACTCTGCCTAGGATTTCTGCGGGTTCGATTTTCGTGCCCGCGGAATTCATCGCAGGAGAAGCGCCGAGCGAGCGCGCCATTTGACCCTTGGACTCTGCCCCAAAATTCCGCGGGTTCGATTTTCGTGCCCGCGGAATTCATCGCAGGACAAGCGCCGACCGAGAGCGCCATTCGACATTTTGGCAACTGCCCAGAAAGTCTGCGGGTTCGATTTTCGCGCCCGCTGAATGCATCGCAGGGAACGCGCAAAGCGATCGCGCCATTCGACATTTTGGAAACTGCCCAGACATTCCGCGGGTTCGAAAACTGAACCCGCGGAATCCTTGGCAGCTTCCAAAAGGGTCGACTGGCGCGCCCACTTGGCGTTTCTCCAGCGATCGATTCCAAGGGCGCAAAAGCGTGGGCTGACTCCTGGGACCTGGGCCCCAAAGCTTCAGCTTACTAGACCCTCGCTCTAACTACTGAGCTACAGAGGTCCTGGAAACCAATCTGATACTCTATTGCGAAGGCCTTACGGCCGGTGCCGCCGACCTTGAATGGCGACGACGGCGACGACGAGCGTTTTCGGGGGCCTCTTGGGGGTAGTTTGGGGGCCTCTTGGGAAGCTCTTTGGGGCCGCTTGGAAGCCTCGTGGGGGCCTCTTGGGGCTTCCTGGGTGTCTCCTGGGGGATCTTTGGGGTTTCTTGGGGGGTTTCTTAGGGACCTCTGGGGGCCTCCTGAGAGCTTCTCAGGCCGAGGGCTCGAAATGTCCCTTCGGGTCCCCCGTCTGGGCTCCTTCTTGGAGCCGTTTTGGGGGGCCCTCTTCGGCTGTTTTGGAGGCCTCTTGGTCGGTCTTGGAGCCCTCTTGGGTCGTTTGGGGGCTCTCCTGGAGGCCTCTCGGGCCATCTTGGGGCGATCTTGGGGGCTTTTTGGCCTGTCTTGGAGCGTCGGCAAGCTGACAAGGCGAGAATGCCGAAATCTTTCAAAAATTTATTGGAAATCTATGATTTGTGCCCCTTGGGACCCTCTTGGAAGTCCTCTTGGAGGCCTCTTGGGTTGTTTTGGAAACCTTTTCAGCCGTCTGGAGGCTCCCGGGTCCCCCCGGAACCCCTCCCCCGGGACCCCCCCCCCCCGCGGGGAAGGGATCAAAGGGAAGGGGCTTCCCTTCGACTCAATTTCAACGTTGCTCAATTTCGCTGTGGCTGGCGCGCTCGAGGAGGAGAACCCGGTGAAAGGTGGGGGAACGGCGACGGGCTTAGGGAAAAGGAAGGAAGCGAGCGGCGAAGGCGACGACGACGACGACGACGACGACGACGACCACGACGACGACGACAACGACGACGACGACGACGACGAGTCAAACGGAACAGCCTCTTCCACACACCGACAGGGTCGGCGGATTCTCAATAACTGTTGTAACCAGTCGTGTATTCACGTGCACGAGAGGCCCATGCAGGCGAGGTTTGAGCGGAAGCCGCGTTCCTAAGCCGTGCGCGTCAGGCCACGCTCCTAGGCTACACCGCGCAGCCAGCTCACGCCGCCGTTCAGATCAAACGACCACAAGCAACCTCAAGAAAGTCATCGACCCCCCCCCAGACCCCCCCCCCTCCAGAGAGCAAGCTCACAGGACCACCTTGCTTGGGGGAGGCGTCAGCAACAGCGTTGGGAGGAGGAAGACGGAGTAGGAACAGGGAGGAGAGAAGGAGAGGGACGATGAAGGAGGAGGGCGAGCACGAGCAGGAGGAAGGAGGCGGAGGAATGGGAGGGGAAGGAGGAGAAGAAGCAGGAGAGGGGTAGGTCAAGAGAAAAGGCATGAATAGGATGAGGAACAGCAGCAGCAGGAAGACTGAGGAGGAGCAGAGGGCATAGGATGATGAACAGGAACAGGATGAGGGGGAAGATGGAAGGACGAGGAGGAGAGGCAGGAGCAGGAGGAGGAGCAGGAGGAGCAGGAGAAGCAGAAGGAGGGGGGGAGAAAAGAAGGAGAGAGGCAGGATGAAGAGCAGGGATGGTGGGGGGGGGAGGAGGAGTAGTGAGGAGGAGTAGGGGAGGAGGAGAGAGGAGGAGGAAGAGGAGCAGGAGGAGGGAGGGAGGAGGAGGAAGGAAGACGTGGGAGGAGGAGAGGAGGAGGGAGGAGGAGGAGGAGGCAGGAGGAGGGAGGAGGAGGGAGGAAGGAAGGAAGGAAGGAGGGGAGGGAGGGAGGGAGGGGGGGAGGGGGAGGAGGAGGAGGAGGAGGAGGAGGAGGAGGAGGAGGAGGAGGAGAGGAGGAGGAGAGGAGGAGGAGGAGGAGGAGGAGGGGAGGGGAGGGAGGAGGGAGGGAGGGAGGGAGGGGGAGGGAGGGAGGGAGGGAGGGAGGAGGGAGGAGGAGGAGGAAGGAGGAGGAGGAGGAGGAGGAGGAGGAGGGCTCGCCCGGGAGCGGGGCCAGAGGAGCTCCGGGGTGTCGATCTCTGAGGGGAGGCACGACGACGACGACGACGACGACGACGACGACGACGACGACGGCGGAATCGTCGATCACGGGGACGGAATCGTGAACGGCGACGGTGCCTACGGCGGAGTCGCCGACGACGGAGGACGACGAGGACGACGACGAAGACGAAGACATGACGACGACGACGACGACGACGACGACGACGACGACGATGACGACGACGACGAGGACGAGGGCGGCGGCGCGGCACAGGCGGTGCCCTCCGTCTCCCGGCCCCATCCGTCCCTGTCCCCCAGGATCCCTCCGCCGCTGGTCTGCTTCTGTGTGAGGGCCCGTGTCCGTGGCGACTTCTGGGGCAAAACGCATTCCTATTGACACTGTGTGATGTTTGGCATTCCCTGTTATTTGCTCAAGTGAGCGAATGATCAGACTTGATCATCGCACAGGCTCTGATACGAGGCCAGTCAGTCATTCGTTCGCTCTCCTGTGTCTGTTTCTTCCCTCCTCTCCTCCCTCCGTGGGCCTTTGGCGCTCCGCTGTTGGTGACATCGCGTGTGGCGTTGGCGGCTGGTCCGGGTGTGATTCCATTTTATTTCACGGCGGCAATCCTCCAGTGTTGGTCGGTCTTGCGCGGGTGGGGGCAAGTCTTCGTTCTGCGTTACGACGGGAGGACGCGGCTCGGAAAGCGAGTCGGCATGTGCCCTGGGGTCTGGGGACGGGTTTCGATATGCATCTCGGTTCTCGTTTGGAGGGTGTGCTATCGGGGATCGCGAAAGCCTTCAGATTGATTATCGGAGGTCGTCCTCTTCCTCCCTGCTCTTCCCTCCCTGTGTCTTCATTATTATTCCCGTCCTCTCCCCGATATGCCAGGGAGTGAGCCCCGCTCCTGCTTTCTAACGCCCCTCTTCGTCCACGTGAATCTGCCTTCTCGGCATATACGGATCTCTTCCAGATATCACATTCCGTTTCTTTTCAGTGAAGCAGGCCTGGATCACTTCAGGCATACGTGTTACAGTCCAGTTTGAACACCAGAACCTGCGACTCGAACCAGTTGCTGCCGCCTTCAAGAGAAAAAATGCATACGTATCCTGCCGGTGCAGTGCTATGCCGATAAAAAATGCGCATGGTGGAGCAACAGCAGGGTCGAAGGACCGCAGCGCGATCCCAGGGCTCGTCGCTGAATTTTGCACGGGGGTACGGGGCACCAACTTCAGAACGGAGAGAGCTCATGTGTGGTGAGGACCATCCTTCGTCGTCTTCTCCCTCCTCTTACCTTTCTCAGCCTCATGCTCGTCCGGCCTGTTTCGGCCCGGCCACCCGAGGAGTTTAGGATGAAGGGCGCCAACGTTGTGTTGGGTCCCGCCGTGAATGTGCACAGGACCCCCTTCAACGGGCGAAACGCGGAATACCTGTCTGGTGACCCGAAAGCACCAATTATAATCACACCAACACCATTCTTGGCCAGGTCAGTACGACGTTGAGGATATATGTGCACTTCTCCCTTTCAGCCCTGGCCAGGACGGAGAATATACACCAGCAGTTGACCCAAGATGGTCCTAAAAACAGCCAGGATCGGCGTGGGTGTATAGCATAGTTGACGCCCGACTAGGCGAGGATCCGGCCCTTGGCGCGGCCCTAGCTCGGATGTACGTCCAGGGGGTGCAGGATGACGCTGGGGTCGCCGCGGTGGTGAAGCACTTCGAGGGCAACCAGCAGGAGACGAGCCGGGTGGACACCAACACAATCGTGGACGAGCGCACCCGATGGGAGCTGTACTACCCACCCTTCCAGGCCGCTGTGGAGGCGGGTGCCGCGGCGGTGATGTGTGCCTACAATAACATCAACGGGAGGCCCGCGTGTGAGAACCCCGAGCTGCTGAAAGTGGATCTGAAGGAGCGGATGGGCTTCGGAGGGTGGGTGATGAGCGACTGGTGGGCTTTCAAGAGCGCAAACTCGACGAGGTCGGGCGCGGACATGGAGATGCCTGGCGCGCCTGTCCACAGCTTCTGGGCCCCAGAGGCCCTAGAGGCGCTGCCGCAGGCGGAGCTCGACGATATGGCCGCAAGGGTGCTCGGAGGCATGTCCCGCTTCTGGCGCCGGGACCAGGACGGGTGCCGGGCTGGCTGCAATTGCGACGGCGAGCTGTATCGGACAGGGGCCACCAGCCTGGAGCACGTCGAGTTCGCGCGCCGCATCGCGACGGAGTCCGCCGTGCTCCTGAAGAACGACGCGCCGCCAGTGCGTCAGGGTGGCGACAGTCCAAGCACTGGCCTCTTGCCGCTGCGGGGGATCAAGGCTCTGGCCGTCGTCGGCGAGGCATGCGATGCTCAGCGGGACGTCGATTGGTACTTCGACAACTGGACACGGGGAGACTACTACACTGTCGGAGGCTCAGGCCGGGTCCTCTCCGACAAGGTCTCCACCGTCCTCGGGGGACTCCTGGCGAGACGGCCTGCGGGCCTGGAGGTGATCGGGAGCGCCTCCGACAGCTTGCCCGAGGCCCTCCAGGCGATGGAGGGCGTCGACGCGGTCGTCGTCTGCGGCGGGGCGACGTCGTCCGAGAGCTTCGACAGGGGTACGCTGCGGCTCGACCAGGAGGGCTTTGTGCTGCGGGCGGTCGCCGCGGCCGTGGCGGCCGGGCTCCCTTCCGTGGTCGTGGCGATGGTGCCGGGCGCCGTGACCGCCCCTTGGAGCCACAACGCTACCGCGGCGCTGGCGCTGTTCCTGGGCGGCCAGGAGGCCGGGAACGCGGTGGCGGACCTCCTCTCGGCGACTACAATGGGTGTTGTTACGCTGGGGTGTGGTTTGCGATCTGCGCCGTTGGGGCCCAGGGGTCACCCAGTTGCGCCAAAGGTTTGGTGAGCCCCCGTCGGGGCGCGGCAGAGATCTCTGTCGAGGTCCTCGCCCCCGTAGGCGCGGGTTGCAAACCACACCCTTTGCAAACCACACCCTTCGGAGTCGCCGATCCTCCTCGGCAACGCATTCCCCTCTGGGAAGCTCCCCGTGACCTTCCCGTCGCGGGAGAAGGATGCGATTCGGCCTTGCATGGGCCGCAAGGATTTCCGGTGCACATATTCTGAGGGCTTGATGGGCGGTTGGCACGCTTACGACGGCAAGCCCGTGGATTTCCCTTTCGGCCACGGGCTCGGCTATACCGAGTTCGAATACGAGAAGGGGACCGTGACCTCCGAGAAGGCCTGCAAGAACAGCACGGACCGAGTCTGTTCGGGCGTGCGCATCATCGTGAGGGTCGAGGTGAGCAACAGCGGCAGCATGCAGGGCGCGGAGGTGGTGCAGCTGTACGTGGGCTTCCCGAGCGGGCTGGGAGAGCCGGCGCTCGTGCTCCGGGACTTCCAGAAAACGCCCGCCCTGGCCCCCGGCTGGAGAGCCCCAAAGACGGCAGCAGCCTTAAACTCTCGGAGGTCCGCGCCGATCCAAGCCACCTGATCTCAGGAGAGGAAAAAACACACAGACACAATTAATCCTCGATTCCCCAGAAAATAGGGGAAAATATTGGAATTGGGCGGGGAGACAAAAATCCAGAAAATATGGGAAAATATGGGGAATCTTTTTATTTGTGTGTATTTATTTGTGTGTTCCAGTTCCCCTTCATAATCAGGCGTCCGGGACCGAGAGTTTATGCTCGTGCCGTCCTTGCGTTCTCTGCTGGCGACGCTCACAGCCTGGAGTTCCAGCTGGGCCAGCGCGACGTCTCCACCTGGGACGCGGGCCTGCACGCGTGGGCGGCGGCGGCGGGCGAGTTCTCGGTGGCCCTCGGTGCCTCCTCGCGCGACCTGCGCCTGTGCGGCTCCTTCCGGTACGAGAGCAGCCTCCAGCAGAGCCCGGCGCCGATGCGGGCGTGCTGATCTGCCGACGAAACACGCAAGAGAGGGACCCTTCGCCGGAGGGAGCTTTGGCGCGGGCACAGAGGGGCCCTCGGGTGGCGGAAGACGAAGGGGCAGCAGCGGCTCGCGCGCCCAGGCTTGGTCTCCCCGCGGCCCCCCAAAAGCCGCGCACCCCAGGCCACTCCCTGCCCGGGGTCACTCGCGGCTCGCACGTGGGGGCGGGGCGGTGGGCAGCCTCCAGAGGAGGCCGAGGGCCGGGCACGGGCTGGCGCGCGCGGGCGGCGGCGGACGGGCTCCGGGTGGTGCTCGGGGCTGCTGCGCGCCACCCTCGCCAGCGCGGCGCGCTCGGGCACGAGACCTCCAGCGAAGCCCACGGCCGGTGCTGGCGTGCTGATCGGCGGCGCGGAAACGGGGGACGGGGCGACGACGATGTAGTCGGCGTCTTTTCTGGGAGCTCTTGAGCTCCTGGGCGCTGCTGGACGTTGCTTCGTGATGGCCGGTCCTTGCCGTGCTGGGTCTCTAGAGGTCGTTTCGCGGCCCGGAGGTCGTCCAAAAAGAAGTCGGGATCTCAGAAAACAGGCCCGGCTAGTTATGTCGAGATCTCGAGGTGTTCACGTTGTCGCGGTCGACGTCGTCGTTTTTGAAGCTGTTTGTCATCTCTTGAGGTTCTCGTGGACACGGACGCACGCAGCTCGGAAAATCGGCCAGGCTGGACCGCGGGAAGGGTCTCCGGGATTGGTTCCCTTTGAGGCCCTCCTGCCTGCCTTCTGAGAGGTCTTCCTCGCAAAGTCCCAGATGCCGATGCCCACCTGAGAAGCCCTCTTGCCACCTTGGAAGGCTGGCCCCATCGCCCCACCCTCCAGGTGTTCGATCATGGAGCCCTCGTGCGCCGCAACTCTCCAGCTGTCACGCTGGAAACCGACGAAGATTGCCGAAGACCGTCAGAAGACAGTCGAAGACCGCTCAAAACCGCAAGAAGACCGCCGAAGAGCGCCCAGGGCTGGTGGGCAACAAGGGGTCCATCTGCCAACACGTAGCACCCTCTCGTGTGTGTGTGCCGCCAGGCTGAGTCGGCGTGCCAGCTGAGCGCACATTGGCGCCCGCGAAAAGTATCTGCCGAGCTCCACCGCCCCCGGGACGCCAGAGGCGGCGTGTCAGGGGGAAGGTGGGGATCTGATCTGCGCCGACCTCGCACAGATCTGGATCTCGGGGGGGTGGAGGCCCTCGAGTCCCCTGCTTTTTGCCCATCCGTGTTGCCGCAGGCATCGAGGCGGAAAGACAAGAGAGCATCGGGATGGTGAAGGAGGAGGACGGGCGGACGGACGGACGGATCGCGATGGTGCCCGCAACGAGAGGTGTCACCGAGTCTGCGATGCCGGACATAATGTCCTTCCCCCGCCCTTCCGTGAGCAGATCGAACCGCCTCCTCGAGCCCGTTGCCCATAATTGTATATCAGGCTCGCGTTTTTTAGTCCCAGTAGTGCGTTCGGAGCTTACTTCATGGGTCCCAAGTTGTGTCACATGTCCAAGCGTCATATACCAGGCATGTTGCAGCACCCCCCCTGGAGCCAGGAGCACCTCCAAATGCGCAGGACTGGAAAAACGTTGCCTTAAACGAACCATGATCCGCTGGCCGACTTCGGAGGTTGACAGACCTCCTACCCTGACACGTCGATTAGCGAATTGGCCGTTTTCGGTTCGCGAGAGGGCGTCGCGGCCGTCATTTTTTGCGGGTCCAGGTCCGTCGGTTTCGGTCCCAGGCCGTTTTCGTTAAGGGGAGGTTTACTAAAGGGAGGGTTGTACACCGCCGACGACTGCTACGAACATGGCAGCAGACTGGTCGCACACAGTCTCTCGCACGGTTTCCGCTCTGCCACCGGAGCTCGGGCACCAATCGAATCATACCACGGTCTTGACCGAACAAGCCGTCCCAGCGAGGGGAGCAGGCCCATTGGCACACGTGCCTTTAACAAACTCCACCTCCTCGTACTCGTTGAGTTCAAACTCGGTGGACATATCGCATTTTCGGGGCAGGGACGATGCCATGGCGCCACTGGCTATCGCTCGGACCGTATGCAAGCTGTCTGCCGTGCATGTATATGAGCCCGCATGTTTTTATCGGCCGTGCCTTCTGTCGGTCTTTTCGCTGAAACAGCGAGGCGATGCGACACGTCCCGCCACCTGGCCAGCGCAGCATTGCGACGGAGGTTGAGTTTCCTACCCGCGCCACTTCAGCACGCGGTCTGAATTCGTGTGGGTCCTAAATTCGACATCGTTCCCTCGATCGTGGAGCCCTCTTGGGCTGCCTCGGAGAGTTCTCGGGCACTGTTCGGGCCATCTGGGGGTTCTCTTGGGGCAGTGTCGGGTAGTCTTGGGGTCGTGCTGGGACTGTCTGAAGCTTTCTCCAGGCGGTCTGAAGTCCAAGGCCCCAGGAGCAAAGCAACAAAACGAGTGCTTCTGCATGTTTCTGAACACTGTTCTCATAGGAGCCCCTGTTCACCTCGCAGGAAGCTTCTTGTGGCATTGCACGGGACTTGTTGAAGTCTTCGGCGCCTCGTTAGGCCATCTTCGAAAGGCATTCGGGTGAAATTTACGCCCCACGCCAGGTCAACGTGATCTGTGAATTCGCGTGAATCTTCAACTCGACCTCGTTCGCTCGGTCTGAGGGTCGTCTTGGAGCCCTCTTGGGCTGTCTTGCAGGGTTCTCGGGCAGTACTGGGCCATCTGGGTGCTCGCTTGGGGGCAGTTTGCGGCTGCATTGACTTCTTGGGTCTCTCTGACGTTCTCGAGGCGATTTGTAGTCGAAAGGCCCGGTGAGCTATACAAACCAAGTGTTTTATGTTGTTCAATGTTTGTCTCATCTGCGCGCCTCGCTAGATGCCTCCTCGGGCGTCTCTTCGAGGCTTCTTTGCTCTTGGAGAATTGCGGGGGGGTCTTGTTCTCTTCAGGGGCTCGTTGGGTTGTTTTGGGGTGAGTTTGAATCACACCCACGCTTCAGCGCGTGGTATGATATCGTGTGGCCTTGGAGTCTTCCTGGGTTGTCTTGGAGGGATATCGGGCAGTCTTGGGACCATCTGGGAGCTCTCTCGGCGCAGTTCAGACTGTCTTGGGGACTGCTTGGGGCTATCTGAAGCTTTCCCGAAGCGATCTGTCGCCCAAAGGCCTCGGCAGCAAAAAAACAACGAGTTCCCTGAGATGTTTCAATGAGTTTCGCTTCCTGGGGCCTCGCTGAAGGCTTCTTTGAGAGAATATTTGACTATTAAAGGCTTCCTGGGGCCTCTTTGGCCATCTCTGGGACCTCGTGACGCCTATATATGTAGGCGATTTGGGGAGTGTTTGGACGATCTTGGGGGTTTTGCAGCCACTTTAGATTATGTTTGACTGCCTTGGGGCCGTCTCGAAGCCGAAAAAGAAGCCGGAAAGCAAATACAGAGGGGGCTGTTTTTTGAGGACGCGTGTTATTAAAGAACCTTACCAGGCAACAGAGGAGGAGCATGCTAACACACCCCAACGTGCCAACGGCACGGTGGCGGATTGACACGGCTGTCCAGAAGTCTTGCCACGTGCATGTGTTTGCATGTGTGGCTACTGTGAGCACACATTGCTGGCCGTTCTCCAGCCATGCCCATGGATAACCCCGTGACGTCACCAGCGGGTGCACGCGGCCCTCTTTATCTCCCCCCTTCTCGCTCCTTCTCTCTTGCCGTAGTTCATCTCCCATGGCCAAGGCCGTGCAATTCTCGTTCAGTGAAGGCCTAGCTTCAAGCAGTTCGTTGGTTGATCGGCTTTTAGATCCGCGTTGCTCCGAGCAGAGTCCCTGCACACGCAAAACAAGTCAGCTGTGAAATTCTTCATGTTTTTTATCATCGGAAGCGGGCAGGCGTTGCAGGGTTGCCCTTTGGAAAGGCACACGGCTTTGAGTTCATATGTTTATGAACCCCGTGGTGCCATGAAAACGGGCCCACGTTGATCGCCCCCGAGAAACGGAAGGAAATATCACACATTGAAGTTGTTGTTCCAGTCCATTCTCTTAAACAGATCACGCCACGACGTCGTAGTGCCATCGTTCGTGTTCCCAGTTGCCCGACTGAGAGCAGTGATAACGATATTTTTTGTGTTTCTTGCATGCCCATTCGGTGGGCACCTTGGTCATCCTCGTGCTGCGTCGCGTTTGCGCGCAATTCACTGCCGTCCTGAAAGAGTGATCACCGTCAGATCCATGTTCCGCCTGGATGGACAACCACGATCTCCGTCAAGGTTGCAGTGAACTCAGATTTACAATCGTGGCCTGGATCACGCGACCGAGCACGTGTAGGTTGCTTACGCCAGCAATTTAGCAGCGACCCCCATTCGCGGCGTCTGGGGTGATTTCCACATTGGAAGCTAATTCAGTCTCGTCGGCCTCCAGGGAAGTGCAAGGCTGCTACCATGGCGCACTAGTGCTCGCATTGGTTCCACCGTCTTCCCCCTTCTTGCTGTCGACCACCCGACTGGGCGGGGTCAGCGATTGTTCTTGGAAGCCCTTCCAACTTCGGAGACAATCACGGGGTAGCGCGTGGACACTCGTGGTGCCAGCTTTCTGAGACAACGAGCTGTCAATGGTGTGTCCTTCCAGCGTGCGCCCCAAAGAGTAGGATCTTGCACTCTCGATGTGCACTCGTATGCTGTGCGCTCTGTGATATGGAGGGACACATATGGTGCAATTCAAACGACGAATTCCTCGTGAGGGAGTCTGTGTGTTGCATCCTGTTTGAAGCCGCTTCCGTTGTGGAGCGCGTGTGCTGCGATCCGTTTGGTATGATATATGTGGCGCAAGCTGTGAGGTGCACCGCCGATCAGCGCACGGGGCGGCGACGAGGCGGCGATTGGCGGCCATTGGGCGGAAGCCTTGAAACGTCAGCCAGCGCCGGGGATGGCGACGACGTGGCCACGGGCAGCCACTGGGCGAAAATTTGGAAGCGCCGGCCAGCGCACGGGGCTGCGACAAGGCGACGACGGACGGCCACGGAACGAAAACCGGGAAACATCAGCCAGAGCACCGGCGACGAGGCGGCGATGGACAGCGCCAAGCAAGTACGTGCATAGCAGCGCAAGTAGCAACCCCTCAGTACAAGCATTGCTTGTGCAAAACACAACTCGGGGCAGCAGGTTGGCCCTCGTGGGTGCTATCTTTGGAGGTGGCGCGTCTTGCAATCTGAGGCGGTTGAAAGACGTGGTTTGCAGAATGCGCTTGTTGTGTGACCCGATTGCCCTCTTCAAGATTTCTGACGCACACCCATTCATTGTCCTCGGTCGATGTTGCCCTAACATCTCGTTGTGTTTTGTCGCATTCCGTTCACCTCGTGCTCTACTCTATTCGTCGTCCTTGCCATTCGTGGGGACTGGGAGATTTTCTCCTCATCGTTCGCAGCCGCTGCATATTTGGACCAGACGAACTTCAAAGACAAGGGAAAGAAGGTTCAGCGCCGAGCCGTGACTCGTTCTCTGTTCAGACCCGCCACAGCTGGGGGAGCTATGGTCCTCCCACCCCCGGGGGACCCATCGATGTCGACACCCCTTTTGAGAGATCGTCCAAAGGATGGGCCCAGGGGGGCAGAAGGAACACAGCTCCCCCAGTTGTGGTGGGTCGGCTGTCCTGCCAGTCGAACGTCAAGTTGAGGAGCGGAGGCGGAAAGGACGTCAGAAGCAAGGGTCCTTCAGACTGCAAAAGTCTTGGTGGAGACGCCGGCGCATTCTCCCCTCGTGCTTAAGATGCTGGGGTCAGCGCCTCGGGGGGGCGCGCCGATGGCGGCCAGATGTGGGGCCCTGGAGGGGCGGGCGCTCTCCATCTCCGCCCGTCCGGCGGATTGCCGGCCGACGTCGGACATCTCTTCGCGCGCGCATTTTTGGCGGTTGCAGCGCATTTGTGATTGTTCGGCGCGGGAGGGATATCCAGGGAGGGCTGTCGGGGAGAGGCTGTCCAGCAGGGCTGCTTGGCCTACATTGGACCCCCCAAGGGCTAGACGGGGGGTCTGACTTGAGGGCCGTCCGTCGTCCTTCATCCTCGGGGGCAGAGTCCCACTCGATGCACCTCAAACGCAGTTCGGCGCCAGTGCTTGCTGCGGAATGGGGTCGACTGCTCCCATGCAGAGGCGATGGCCCGAAGACGTGGCTGAACTGTGTCTCGGAGGGAGCATGCCGCAGGCTTGGGGCTGGCAGGGGCGAGTGGCGCGGAGCGGGCGCCGAGTCTCAGCATGGGGCCGCGGCAGCAAGCCAGCGAAGGCACCCAGAGGCCTGGGAACCAATCGGGCTCGGGCCCGTCGTGGACAGTTCGATCTGGTAGGGAGGAGGACTGGAGGACTGGAGGACTGGAAGAGGAGAGGAGGAGGAGTGGGAGGGAGGGAGGGAGGGAGGGAGGAAGGGAGGGCGGGGGGTGGCGAGCGCGCAACGATGGAATGGGCACGGGACGTTCTCGAATCGGCAGCCGGGAGCTTAAAAAGAACCTTGGCAAGCGACCAGACAGTGGGCGATAGACCAGGGTGTTGCCATCGACAGAAAAAGCGCACCTGCTTCTAGGAAATGCCAGGGGGGCTCGAAGACTCGACAGGCCAGCGCAAGCCCAGGTATGAGAGAGGGGAAGAAGAAACAGGAGCAGAAACGGGAAGCCAGAGCGGAGTACCTTGGCAACGGCACTGAATCTAGAGCAATCAAGCGAAGATTTGAACTCTAAGGACGAGTCGCCAATAGACAGCTAAAGTGCAAGCGGCCCTGCAGGCAAGGCAGGCGGTCGCGCGAAAGCCAAAGAGGAGTGGCCTGGCACCGCCTGGAAGCCAGGAGTGCAATTTGGGGCGAGCCATGACAAGTGTGCCTGACAAATCCCACACGCCAAGAGCAAGCCATGCATCAGCAGTCAAGCCGCTACTGCGCAGGACAATTGAGGAAAGTCGAGCCTGGGAAGAGGAGGAAGGAGGGAGGAGAAGGGGAGGAGGAGGTTGAGGGAGGAGGACGAGGACGACGACGACGAGGAGGGATGAAGGAGGAACGAGCAGGCAGAAGCGAGAAGCGTGCCCTCGACTCCGACGTCACAAATATGTTTTTGGCGTGCCCCGCCCAGGAACCTCGACCGCGTCCCCTGTGACAGCCTGTCTTGCTGAGTCCTGTTTGATTGCTACGCGTGGACTTTGACGAAACGTGCCGCCGATATTTGTTTCTATGGCGCCCATTTCTGAGGGTGTCTGTGCCGTCCTCACCGGCGCACCAGAAGTCCCAGCAAGAGCCATCGTGACCCTGCAGGGAACACTTCCGCCCGACGAGCGAGCACAATCTCAAAATGCTGCGACGCTGGTAGCGTCGAGTCGGGGGAGGTGTAGCAGACCCCGGCCCACCCGCAGTCCCTCCCCGCGCACGGAAGCCTGGCCTCCCGACGGCTGCTCGCCAGCCCCGGCCCCGGCCGCCTCTGGCAGCCCTTCCGCCACGCCGCTCGCGGCAGCAGCTGGGGCGACCTCCGCAGCCAAACGGGACGCCCGGGCAGCCTGGGGCTCCTGGGTCGGCTCCAAGGCGGGGCCGATCGCCTCCGATTCGAGGCTGTGCCCAGGGAGGCGCCCTGTGCGCAGTCTGGAGCGTTGCGTCTCAGGGCCTGGAAGCTCGGCACCTTCACACGGCCCCATCAGGCCTGGGGGGCAATTTGGTGCATGGTGCACCGCTCGACCTTCTTTCACACTACCCCCTCACCCTCTCCATCCTTCCCCTCCCCTCCTCCCTCCTCCCTATCCGATCCCTCCCCTCCCCCACCCATCCACCGAACCATTCCCCCCCCCCTCTCCATACCTCGCCTCACAACTCCCCCCAGATCTGGGAGGAGGAGGAGGAGGAGGAGGAGGAGGAGGAGGAGGAGGAGGAGGTAGGAGGAGGAGGAGGAGGTAGGAGGAGGAGCAGCAGCAGCAGCAGCTGGCGGAGGAAAAGGATCATGAAGAGCAGAAAGAGCAGAAGGAAGGGAGAGGGAGCAGGACGAGTAGGAGGGGGAGGCTGAGGAGACGGAGGAGGAGGTCCAAGCGAGCGTGGGACTACGTAGATGAGAACGGAGATGGAAGAGCAGAGTGATGATGAAGAGGAGGGGGGAGGAAGCGGAGGAGGAGGAGGAGGAGGAGGAAGAGGAGGTCCAGATGAGCATGGAACCAGAGGGGGAGGGGGAGGGAAAGGAGGATGAGGAGAAGAATGTCCAGACGAGTCTAGAACCAGAGGGGGGGAGGCAGAAGGTCCAGACGAACATGGAATCAGAGGGGTGGAACGAGGTCCTCTCCCTCATCTCCCTCACCTCCCTCCCCCTCCCTTCCCCTCCCCTCCCCCCTCCTTCCCTTCCCTGCTCGCCCTGCCTCCCCATGCCACCCCTCGGAGCAGCAGCAGCAGCAGCAGCAGCAGCAGCAGCGCGAGGATGCCAGGATATGTGTCCACGCTGGCTCCGACTGTTGCGGCGCCGCAGTCAGCTGTCCGGCCTGCAGTGCCAAGGGGCAACGTGAGGGGGGATAGGCTCATCGCACACCCATCGCCTACAGTGGCCCGATAGCCCACCCCGCCCAGGAATGCCTATCGCCGGTCCATCCGCAATGCGTCGCCGGTTCCGGCTCCACGTTTTTGCCCCCTGAGCCGGTCTCCCCGTGACGTTGCCCCTCAAGTGCGGTGGTGGCTCCCCCGCCGTCTCCGCTTGCCAGCCGGAGGCCATGGGCCGCGGGTCGGCGAGCGGCACCGCAAGCGTGGCGCCGTCCAGCGGTGGCCGGAGTGGCGGAGAGGTGGCCGAGAGGGTGGCCCGCCCCAGCGACGCCCGCTCGCTGCGGGAGAAGACGAGGGATGAGCTGCACGAGTCTGGCGAGACCGTCATGTTCAGTCATATCCTCCTGCCTGTGCTTGCCCACGGCTCTCGTCTGATCTACGCGCCCGACGAGGTCGTCGCACACATCGCAGGCAAAGTCTTTGGAATGGTATCCACCGCGTGCACTGCGTCGACTGTTGACGCACGGAAGTTTAGTGATAATCTGCCGAGGGATGTGAAGAAGCTCATGAAGGAATATTGGCCCATCATGGTGTCTTTCACCATTGGAGTACTCATCTTTCACAGATACGCGCAGACCCTGAAGTGCGCGATGCAGAATACATTCTTGGGATGGGCTGATTGGAATCGGGAGATGGGGATGGTGGCACGCTTCTTCAGTATCAGCGCTTTGATGGTCGTGCGGCTTATCGTTAGCAACGTGCTCCCTTTCACTTCCCCTGCCTTTGCGTACCTCATCGCGAAGTCGCAGCCTGAGGGTGAAGGCGTTGCAGGAACCTTTTACCTTCTTGCCTGTAGCATGCCCGCGGGAGCTCTTATACCCCTTCTCGACACTTTCGCGAAGCGCTACTACGATTGTGAGTTCTTGGTGACGAAATATGCCAGCATTGCTACGGACTACTTGCCTTTCTCGTTTTGGGTGCGTCCATTATTCATGGAACCGGCGTTCCTTTCGGCAAAGAAGGCTGGCTTCGACGACAAAGGTGCCATTGGAGGGACACTCAGATACAACATAAAGTCGGGGACCTCGACGTAAACAAATGGAACCCATGTTTCCCCGCCCCACCGACCCCTTCTTCATCTGGCCATGACAGAGCCTTTAAAGATAGTGATCTGATCGGTTCGCAGTGAGCTTGGTAAAATGTTAAGAGTGCTCAGGCGAGTTAGCGAAAAAACTTTCGCAGACTTTTGCGACACACTGATTCGTCTCAGGTTTAACCCGATACGTGGTAGCTTCCTTCTGAGACAAAAGTCACTTGGCCCCTCCTCTTTGAGACACTAAGCGCAGCCATTTGTGCGCGTCTTCGGCGGAGGCAGGCGGAGGAGTCTGCGATGCGCAGACTCCGACGGATTTGCCGTGAGAGGCCTCCCCACCTTCGGGGATCCCCCAGAGGGGCCCCACCGTTCACTTCGTCTCTGGTGGCCCTCCGAGGTGCCGCCTCCGCGGCTGTGCTCACAGGGCACTTCATGATTTGGGCCGGCCCGGCAACGACGATGCACCAGCGGATGTTCGTCCCGGATATCATTACCTGTGTCTTGATTCAGCCGCTCGGGCTCATGGAGGATGTTGCTGTCGTTCTCGCCACGTGGGCGGGCGAAACGCCTCAGAGCCAGAAGGCCGCCCAAATTGCTTTGTACGTGTTCATGCTCCTGATGAACTGCGTGCAATACATCACGTCCAGGTCGGAGTTCATCGCGTTCACGTCAATGCATGCTGCGTCTAGTGCCCGACACTTGATAGTTGGGGCTTTGACGCTAATATTCCTGACGCTGAAATTTCTGCAGCCTGTTAATGAGCCTAGTACAACTTCCACCTTCACAACGAGTGCAATATCATTCTGTGCAACGGAACACACCAACGTGACCGCCGTCACCTGGACAGTTTTACAAGTGTCGGCCGAAGCGGTAATGTGTTCAGTTCTGGCCAAGGTGTTGGTCAATTGTTTCCCGTGTGTCGATGTGGATACTCTTGTTCTCGATCGGGATGTTGGTGATGTCCATCAGGTCGCCTTGGGGGTCATTCCCCTTGCCCCCGTTCTCCTCCTCATCACCCTCCTGCTCTTGCCTCATCTCTCCCCTCCTCCCTCTGCCCATCCCCATAAATATATGTCTCATCCTGGTCATCCTCTTTCCCCCCGCCCACCTTCCTCCCTGCTCAACAGCTAAGCCATATGAATACAAGTCTTCCTCCTCCCCTGAAGTTGTCAGCAAGATCTTACGCCCCCTCCACGTGCTGTTTTGCACACAGGATTTCGAAATGTGATGTTTCTTATGGTTTTACAAGTCTTTTGTTTTCGGTGATCCTGCTGCAGTGTGGGCCCCATTTTCGAATCGGTAATTTGCTCCGGTCGTTCAGAATGGCGCTTCCACCCCAGCCCGGGCAATTTTTCTGAATCCGAGTCTTGATTCTCTGTGGTCCCCCCCTCATTTCCCCTCCCCAGACTTCCCCTGGTCCTCCTGCTCCTCCCGCTCCTTCCACTCCAGTTCCTGCTGCTGCTGTTCGTCTCGCCCCAGCAAGGGCCATTTTTCTGAATCCGAGTCGTTGTCCATCGTTGTCACTCCACTCGTTTCCCCCCTACGTCTTCCTCTGGTCCTCCTTTTCCTCCCGATCTTTCCGCTTTGATTATTGCTGCTGTTGTTCGTCCTCATCCTTTTTCCTCCCGCTCATCCTCCCGCTCACCCGCCACCTCCTCCTCGTGTGCACGCAGCTCCCTTTTTTTTCCGAATGCACATAGCACGAAGTGGCCTTTACGTGGAAGCCGCAGGCCAGCTACGACACGCGTCCGCGGATCGAAAAACATCTGCGCCGTGGGAAGGGATGGGAGGGAGGTACGGGATATCAGAAGAGGCGCGAGCGCCCTTGGCTTGTCCTTCCCGTCTCTCCTCCCCGGCCTCTTGTCCTCCCCCTACTGCCCCCTGCTCCCACTCCACCTTCTCCTCCCCCTCTCACCGCTCCTCCTCGGGGCACCCCTCTCCCCAGGAGGGTGATGGCGGAGGAGGGAGAGGCAGGGAGAGGGCGCGCTGCGGACCGGTGCACGCCCCCAGAGCACAAGGGGGTTACTGCAGACCGTTGGCCGCCAGACCTCCTGCGCAGATCAAGCGGACACCCAGGCCATGTTACAAGGCGCGCTCCAGAGAGGGCCTCGCCTTCGAGAGTTCGAAAGAGCTGGCATCTCTTCTTCGGCGGGAGGCGGCGGAAGGTCGGCAGAAGGCGTCGGAATTAAAGCCGGGGCCGTTGGCAGAAGCCGGCGGAAGTGCGGCGGAAGCCAGCGGAAGTGAAAGATGCGTGCCCAAGAGATGACGACCGTTTCGGATTCAGGGTTTCCAGAACTAGCCACATGGTCAAGACAGACGGGCCGCCACAGGCCATGAGACCAGGGGCCGGCACGGAAACGGAAAGAGCGCTGCAGCAACCTGCCCGAGAGGGTTCATGGCACCCTTCGCTCTTGGGAGCTTTGGTGGTAAGAGCTTGTTACGTCACCGCTCGCTCGTGGGAGCCTTGGTGTGCCGAGACTTTTACGTTGCCGCTCGCTCTTGGGAACCTTGGTGTGACGAGCTTTTTACGTCACCGTTCGCTCTTGGGAGCCTTGGTGTGCACGAGTTTGTCACGTCACCGTTCGCTCTTGAGAGCCTTGGTGGGAAGAGCTTATTACGTCACCACTCTCTGTTGGGAGCCCTGGTGTTTAGAGATGTTTACGTTGACGCTCGCTCTTGGGAGCCTTGGTGTGACGAGCTTTTTACGTCACCTTCGCGCTTGGGAGCCTGGGTGTGAAGAGTTTCTTACGTCCACTCCTCCTCCCTCCTCCTGCTCCTCCTCTTCCTCGTCCGCCTTCTCCTCCTCCTCCTCCTCCTCCTCCTCCTCCTCTTTCTCCTCCTCCTCCTCCTGCTCCTTCTCCTCCTCCGCCTCCTCCTCCTCCTCCCTTGGCCTCGTCCTCGTTCCTCCTCCTCCTCCTCCTCCCTTGGCCTCGCCCTCTTCCTCCTCCTCCTCCTTCTCCTCCTCCTCCTCCCTCTCCTCTTTATCCTCCTCCTTTTCCTCTTCCTCCCCCTCCTCCTCGTCCTCCTCCTCTTCGTTATCCTCCTCCTCCTCCTCCTTCGTCTCCTCCTCCTTGTACCTCCCTTCCTCCGCCTCCTCCGCCTCCTCTTCCTTCTCCTCCTGCTTCTTAGACTTCCAACTGCACCCGAGCTAGGACGTGCCCTCAAATTTGCTCGACGGTCAGCCCCTGGCCCTGGTCAACTTTCATACACGGCATGGAAAGCTAGACCCGAACAACTGATTGTCTTGCACAAACTTATGACATACCTGTACAGCGGACACCCCGCGCCCCTCGAGCTCAACGACAGCCTCTTCGCTTTTTTCCAAAGGCTCGCAACCCGAAGATGCCCAGGGGTGTGTGCGGTCCCCAGGAAAGGTTCGGCCGCTTGACCTCAGGAATACAGACATTAAGATCATGGCATCCGCCACCAACTTCCAGATTTGTCAGGTTGCCCAAGATCGTACCCATGAGGCTCAACATGGGTTCATCTCAGGACGTCTTTTCTTTTCTAACATCATCACGTTGGACGCCGAGGCCCGTAAGGCCAGCATCTCCCCCGAAGCTGAGGAGGACCTCCCCATCTTCGCTGCCTACGATGTGGAGGCGGCGTTCCCTTCTCTCGGCCACCAGTGGTTGTTCGAGAGTATGAGGAGGATTGGGTTTCCGCCAGGTTTCCGGAACTTCATCCACGCATTATACGTTCTCCCCCGAGGTTTTGACAATATTCAAAATCGAATCGTTTTTTTGTTTCATTTCTGTTTGGGCGTCCTGCAAGGGTGCCCTTTTTATGGTTCTCTCTGGGCTCTCGCAGTGGACCCCATCCTGAGATGTCTGCACGCGGCCACACAGCTCCCGCAGGCGAGGCACCACAAGGGTTTTCTTTGGGGTTGTGCTGACGATGTCGGAATTGTGATGCCTAGCCTTCGAGACCTGGTTGGCGTCTCCCGTGTTTTTTCTGGAAGTTGAGCGATTTGCCTGTCTCAGGCTCCAAGGGACTGAATGTGTCTTGGTCCCACTGTGGACTGAGTGCGCAGAGGCCGTCCAGGACAGGGTCCGAAAAGAGATTCGCAGGTGGACCCCGCAGTGGGCCAACCTTAGGATCGCTGACCGTACTGCCTACCTACGGGTCGAAATGGGCCCTTCAGCCACACTTAGCATGATCTGGGCTAACGCAGCAGAGAAGTGGTGGTCGAGGACGATAGCTCTGCCATGCTCTGGATCTGGTCCGTCTGCCCTTTCAATTCTGTACAACACCACCTCTCCCTCGACACTCTCGTGCTTCGCCCAACTGTTTCCCATCCCTGCTCTGATTCGTAAGCTCGAGCATCAGGCTTTGCACAAGCTGCGCAGGTTGCCGCCGAACAGCTTCAGTCTTGCTGATCTGAATGCTCTGCCACCTGTGCTCGCCATTGCCCCGTCCTCTGCCTCTTTGCTTGGATGGGCTAGCAGCTGGCGGACCTCATTTCGTACGATGAACCATACTTGGCAGCGTGCACTACACAGTTTGAAAGAATACGCCCAAGACAATGCCACGATAGTTTGCTTCATTGCAGGAAGATATTCAGCGCTCTGCTGGAAGCGCCCCTTCTCAATCGCACAATTCATGGAGCGGGCGAGGCGTCCGCCCTTTCTTTTCCCTGACAAGCCTGGATTGCACGCAGCATTCCGTGCTGCGCGTGACCACACCAAACTAGCCATCCAGGAAGCCCGCCGCCCGCATCCACAGCGCGTTGTTGCACGCACGCTTCGAGCTGCCGCTATCCTTGACTCTTTGCTTGGGACGTTGGGCAAAAGTTTCTCGCGTGGCAGGTCCTGGTTCTTGGGGGGCGGAGGTCGGTGGTCGGACGGTGGGATCTCTGTCGGACTTGCATCGCGAGTCTCAAACCCGCCTGGCAACGGAGTGTCATCAAGACCCTCTGCGGAGCGTGGGCAACCACGCACAGACTGCACGTAGACAACGCCCCCCACGAGCTGCATTTGGGGCTGCGCAGAGCCTGATGAGATTGCTCACTATCTGCGTTGCCCGAGAATGTATCACCATCCTGCAATGCACCTTGCGTGGAGAAGGCGCCGCTTTCCAGGATCGCCGATTGGTCTGGTGGGATTGGGGGCGGCGTCTGACTACGGGCGGAGGGGATCGGAATTCACGCGAGAGGAATGCTTTAGGGCAGTCGCACTGGCGTTATAGATGCACCATAAAGCCAAAGGTTTCGCGCAGAAGACGCCTGTGTCGCTGGATCGCGCATATGACATTCGAGGTGCCGCAGAACTGGAACTTGAACGGTGAGATCCTCTCACCGATACTGTGCTACGTTCATTAGATTCCGAGGGTGCGGGTTTGCCATGCGTTGCTTGGTGGTGGGTTGTGGGGTGCGTGATGGGGGATCGCTCGAAGATCCTGCGGCGGCGGCATGTTGCGGTGATGAGTCTCCCGCAGTGCCCTGTCTCTCTTCTCTTTCCCCTCTTTTTCTTTGTTTGTCATCGCCTGCGAGGCCTATCTTCAGATCTGGTCTGCCTCGAGCACCTTCTTTCTGTGGGCCCTGCTGGTGGTGGAAGTGGCAAAAGGTTGCGCCGCCCCTCAGGAGGCCGAAAAAAGACCCCAGCGACACTCAGATGGGGCCCATTCCCTCCGTCGACGCATCCGCGTCGACCGAGGTCGAGGCCAGTGGTCGGACAGACCTTCTTGGTTACGTCGTCTCCTCCTCCTCCTCCTATTCCTCCTCCTCCTCCTCCTCCTCCTCCTCCTCCTCCTCCTCCTCCTCATCCTCCTCCTCCTCCTCCTCATCCTCCTCCTCTTCCTTCACCTCCTTTCCCTCCTCCTCATCCTCCTCCTCATCCTCCTCCTCCTTCTCTTTCTCCTCCTCCTCCTCCTCCCTCCTCCTCCTCCTCCTCCTCCTCCTCCTCCTCCTCCTCCCTTGGCCTCGTTCTCGTTCCTCCTCCTCCTCTCCTCCTCTCCTCCTCCTCCTCCTTCCTCCTCCCCTCCTCCTCCTCCTCCTCCTCCTCCTCCTCCCCTCCTGCTCCTGCTGCTCTTTGCTCTTCTTCCTCCTCCTCTTCCTCTCCTCCTCCTCCTCCTCCTCATCATCATCCTCATCCTCATCCTCATCCTCATCCTCCATCCTCCTCATCCTCATCCTCATCCTTCTCCTCCTCTCCTCCTTCTCCTCCTTCTCCTCCTTCTCCTCCTTCTCCTCCTCCTCCTTCTCCTCCTCCTCTCCTCCTTCTCCTCCTCCTCTCTCCTCCTCCTCCTCCTCCTCCTCCTCCTCCTCCTCCTCCTCCTCCTCCTCCTCCTCCTCCTCCTCCTCCTCCTCCTCCTCCCCCTCATCTTGGGGCCCGCTTCGGGGCCTCTAGGGGCATTCTTGGGGCTCTCTTGCGTCCGTCAGGGGGCCCTCTTGGCCGTCTTGGGGCCCTCTTGGGCCGTCTGGGGGCCATATTCGGTCGTTTGGGGTCCTTTTGGGGCGCCTCTGGGGCCGTCTTGGGGCGATCGTTGGGGCCTCTTGGGCCGTCTTGGGCCCGTTTGGGGGCCCTCTTGGACCGTCTGGGGCCCCTCTGGGCGCCTCTGGGGCAGTTGTGGGGCGATATTTGGGGCCTCTTGGGCCGTCTGGGGCCCTTCTGGGACGGAAAATGAGAGACCACGAAAAACGTGCAAAAACCAAGGGGGGTAACAATGTTCTTGGCCTCCTGAGGCCCTCTCGGAGTGGCGCAGATCCCCTCTCTACTCGCTCAGTCGGATGTCGAGCAGGGCAATGATGGGTACGCGATGCTTTGTAGGGCACGGCATGGCATGGCGTAGAAGAGCACCGCAAAGCGTAGCATCAACCTAGCATTGCAGTGCATGCCGTGACATGGCACGGGAAATGACGCCAGCGCTGCAGCGGGAGCAGGAGTCGAAACGAGCGGAAGCGCGGAAATGAGGCCAGCGCTGCAGCGGGAGCACGATTCGGAACGAGCGGAAGCACGGAAATGAGGCCAGCATTGCAGCGGGAGCACGGTTCGGAACGAGCGGGGCCCGAAAATGAGGCCGGCGCCTCAGCGAGAGCAGCATTCTGCAAAAAAATGCAGGCGAAAACCCATTCCGGGGAAACTTGTGTTTCAAAAACAATACGCGGGGAGGGGGGCGAATATTCCCAAGACGTCATCAGGGGAAGAGGGAGAGTAGTATTAATATTGAGTAATTGTGAAGGGGAGGGCGGGGGCGAGGGGGAGGGAAGCCTTGCCTCCCACCTCACCTCAAGAGGGCACGTGGTGCGACGTGACAGCCCAGCCCAGGGGCGACCTCATGCCGTACGCGTCGCAACACGCCGCGGGACGCCCCCTGCTCGGTTGAGGGGCGATGGCGCGCAGCGGCGGCGCCCCTGCGCGGTTGAATCGAGGAGGGGGGGGGGGGGAGACAGGGAGTGCTGGGAATGCACGAGACTGCTTCGCTGGCGGACCGCTTCGGCCGCAGACCGCTTCGCCGGCGGGCCCGCAGCAGTCGGGCCTGGATGGGCGGGTCGACTACACGCAAGAGTGACCCTTCGCCGGAGTGACCTTTGGTGCGGGCTCACCGGGGCCCCCCCGACCGCTGAGCGCGATGCGACAGCGGCCGCTTGCGCCCCTGGATCTGGCCACGTTACGCCCCCTCAGTCCGCGCACTGAAGGGCGCTCTTACCCAGGGTCACTCTTGCGTGTCGCCGAGCGGGTCGGGCGGGTGAACCCCAACGGGTGGGTCGGGCGGGCGGGCTCTGAGCGGGACCTTGCAGCGGCCGGGATGGCACGCAGGCCAGCGGGCGGGCGGCACCCAACGGGCGGGGCGGGGCGGCGCGATCTGGGGCGAAGCCTTCCTTGGGCGAAGAGGCTCGCGGGCGGAGCGGTCCACAGGGGCAGCGGTTCTCCTCCGTCGGGACAGGGGAGCGCAAAAACTGCTGCACGCAGCTGGCCTCTGCACCGCCGCTCGGCCTCTCCCTCGAGGCAGGGGGCGCTCCCGACGCCCCGGCACCGAGAAGGCCGGCCACGCGCGGCGGACTCGCGATCCCCGCCCCCGTTTGCGCCCCCCCCCCCCCCTCTGTCGTCCGCCCCGATCGGCCCCCGCCCCCAGACCGCTGACGAGGAGGAGGAGGAGGAGGAGGAGGGGGAGGAGGAGGAGGAGGAGGAGGAGGAGGAGGAGGAGAAAGGAGGGGGAGGGGGAGGAGGAGGAGGAGGAGGAGGAGGAGGAGGAGGAGGAGGAGGAAGAAGTTGAGGCGAAGATCTCGGCCTCGCCGGTCGCCGTCGTCGTGGTCGCCGCCCATCGCTGCCGTCCTCGGCGGCGTCGGGGGCTGCCAATCTTCGGCGCCGACGTCGGAGGCCGGGGGCCCGGACCTCCGGCGTCGTGCCAGTGGTCGGCCTGGGGGCCGGTCTTCCGCTCCCGGCCACCGTGAAGTCGGCCCCGTCCCTCCCTCTACGGAGGGAAAATTTAAAGATAGTAAGCAAATAGGCTGGGGACTATTTCCCCACCTTTTTACGACATTTGTATCGCACTTTTGGGGCATGTTTAACTTTTCACCCAAAATCGGCTTCTAGGGCCCGGCTTAAGGCCACCGTCTGAAGGCCCCTGGGTCCCGAGACGGACCTCCTCCGCCGCCGTAACATCCTCCCATCCCTCCTCGTCCATTCTCCCCCCCTCCTCGTCCATCCTCCCCACTTGCTCCTCCTCGTCCCATCCATCCTCCCCCCCTCCTCGTCCCATCCCTCCTCGTCCATCCTCCCCCCGTCCTCCTCCTTCCCTCCCTATTTCTCGCCCCACCCCCCACCCCCCTGGTCCCGCAGCCCAGTGGAGCGGCGCCTGAGTCAGACACCCGACTGCCCTCCAAAGGCCGAGATTGGAGAAAAAGAAGCCAGGCTGAGCAGGTCACGGCGTCGGAGGCCTGGGCTCGCAGAAGAAAAACTTGTATAAACAAAGTTTCGGCGCTCCGCGCGGATTTCTTGGATCTGCGCTGGACTCCCCTGGCGGCGCCGCCCATGGCGCGCTCCGCGCGCCAGGGAGGGGGGTCCAGCGCCGATTCAAGAACTCCGCGCTGACCTCCAGAAGTTGATGTTGATGCACTTTCTGATTCTTTTGTGGACCCGCGCAGCATCTGCCTCGGCCAGCGGGTCGCGGCCGCGCTATCTGCAGAGGGGCGCCCCCGACGGCTGCGGCGGGCGGTGGCTCGCCAAGGCGTGTGGCGCGAAGGTGGCGGCCTGCTGAGAAGGCAGGGAGGCTTGGCCCCGTCTCTGGGCCTGTGCCCATACCGCACATCGGTACATGTTTGCATCACTATCGGGCTGGTTTTCGCACACATGCCCAAGTGTCGCGAGCGCTGTATTAATCACGTGTCCTGTCCCTGCATGTTGGCCTGCTCGCGTTGGGTTTCTATCCCGGCGTGCATGCTAACGATTCGCTTTGGGCCCGTGGTCTCGCGCCACGGCTTTTTGATTCTCGGCTCCTCGAGGCCATCACAGCGCTCTCTCTCTCTCTCTCTCTCTTTCTCAATATCCCTCCTCTCTCTCTCTCTCTCTCTCGGTTCCCCCTTCCTGGATGGCGTCGTGTGGTTTATATGAACGGCCGTTTAGGCCATGGGGATCCCGCGCAGAAAGCCTTGGGCTCTCTTCCTTGTCTGCGTTGTCTTCCACTGCTTCTTCGTCCTGTCCCACGCATCGTCATCGGCACACAGAGAGGCAACCACAGGGGTGCCAGGCTTGCTTCGCGGTGTTGAGGGTGGGCAAGAGAAAGCACTGGTGGCAAAGGGGAAGAAGCTGAGGGGGGTCCTGGGCGACGGACAACATATTGCACTAACGAGTTGTTTCGGCGACCCAGGACCTTAGCCAACATGTTCAATGTGGGGGCAGGGGGGGGGAGTTCAAAACAAGTACCAGTGGGAAACAGAACGCTTAATGCCCAGCAGGTGGCGCAACATTTTGTCAGTGTACCGTCTATGTGTCAGGATTCAGCTTAAGGCTCCAGGCCTTGGTCCCATGCCGAAGACCCCAGCCTAGGTTCAAGTCGGGCTTGTCCTTATACAGGAGGAATTTCCAAAAATAATATAAAAAATAGTATGGGGACCATTGTTTGACTATGTTTGAGCATGTGGGGGGCATGTTTGTAGTAATTTGAATGTTTCGCCCAAAAGCCCCCTGTAGGGGGACAGGCCCGACCTAAGCCTAGGTCCTAGGCACGATCAGCTTGGGGCCCGAGGTCAGAAGCATGTGCGACCGGAGTGGCGCGAAGGAGGGAGGGAGGACGGCCGCTCAAGAAGGCAAGGGGAGTCTCAGAGCCCCGCCCGCAGTCCACGGGGCCGTCTTGGAAGCCTCCGATCCTCTGGAAGAGAAGAAGAACAGAAGGCCTTCTTAGAAGCCTCCGATCACATGGAAGACACTGATACTAAGAATCGATCAAGCAGTGACATCATCATGAACTTTCACAGGTCCGCGCGGATTTGTGTGGTTGATGGTTGCCGTGCCCCCCCCCGTCCGACCCGCTGTGTGTATGATTACAACCATGCGTTTTTGATAGATTTCCTGGCGATTGGAACGCTATGGATCATCAGTTTACTCATAATGCATGTTCGTCGTCTTCGTTCTTCATCATCCCGTTCTTTCTTCTTCTCCCAAGGTCTTTTTGCAACGCCTTTACAAGAGGATTCCTTTTGTGGCGACCTTTCAACACGATTGCAAGTGCAGAGGATCTGCAATGGCCTCCACTATGAGAATATTATTTTGTTGCAACCTGTATAATGGGCTTCCTTTTGTGCCGGCCTTACAAAAGGGTTTTGAGTGCGGGGGATCTGCAGTGACGGCTCCGTGGGTCCAGGACAGTCAGAAAAGAAAACAGGAAAATCAGGAAAAGCATTGAAACGCATGTGGTTTCACATGGGAAAACATGTAAAGGTAGGAAAACTGGTGACAGCCGGTATCTTTAGGGTGCTGATGACCGAACAATTAAAATCCTGTTGTAGCGGCCTTTACAAAATGATCCCTTTTGTGGCGACCTTACAACACGATTGTAAGTGTGATGGATCTGCAGTGGCCCCCACACTTAAAATCCTGTTGTAGCAGCCTGTACAAAAGGGATTCCTTGTGTGGCGGCCTTACAATAAGGTTGTCATTGTGGGGGGGATCTGCAGTGGCAACACCGTGAGCCCAGAAAAGCTAGAGAGGACATCAGGAAACAATAAAGTCAGTTTGCTCTTTCACAAGGGAAGACACGACAAAGCTGGGTAAATCTTTGACTGCCGCTATTTTAATGTGCAGCTGACCGAACAATTCAAATCCTTGTGTAGCGGCCTTTACAAAAGTATCCCCTTTGTGGCAACCTTCCACAAGGATTATAATTGTGACGGATCTGCAATGACCCCCACACTTAAATCCTTGTGTAGCAGCCTGTACAAACGGATTCGTTTTGGGGCGGCCTTACAAGAAGGTTGTAAGTGTGGGGAATCCGCAGTGGCAACACCGTGGGCCCAGGAAAGCTAGAGAGGAAAACTGGAGAAAAAAATGAAAATCAAACAAACAAATTCGTGTTTTCACATGGGAAAACAGGAAAAACTAGGAACACCTGTGACTGTTCGACCTTACACAAGGGTTTTAAGTGTAGAAGAACTGCAATGGTTTTCACTATGAGAACCCTTGTGCAGCAGCCTGTGCACTGGAATTCCTTTTGTAGCGGCCGTACAATAGGATTTTAATTGCGGGGGATCTGCAGTGGCGGCACCGTGGGCCCAGGAAGGCTAGAGAGAGAAAAACCGGAGAAACCTGAACAACATCAAAAAGCGTGTGCTTGTCACATGGGGAAGCAAGGAAAAGGTTTGGAAAACCATTGTTTGTCGCTATTTTCGGGGGTGTTGATGACCGAACAATTCAAATCCTTGTGCAGCAGCCTTTACAACAGGATCCCTTTTGTGATTTTAAGTGTGGAGGGTCTGCAATGGCAACCACAATTTGAATCCTTTTTGTAGCAGCCTGTACAAAGGGATTCCTTTTGCGGCGGCCTTACAACAAGGTTTTAATTGTGTGGGATCTGCAGTGGCGGCACCGTGGGGGCCAGGAAACCTAAAGAGGAAAACAAGAAAAACATTAACAACTGTTTTAAAGCCGTTGTTTTCACAGTGGGAAACAGGCAAAGTTAGGACAACCTGTGACTGTCGCAAGTTGTTGGGTCCTGATGGCCGAAAAATGAAAATCCGTTTGCAACGGCCTTGACAAAAGGATCCCCTTTGTGGCGACCTTACAGCAGGATCTCAAGTGTGATTGATCGGCCTTTGTACAAGCTGCTACAAAAGGATTTTAAAAGTGTGGGGGCCATTGCAGATCCTCCACACTTAAAATCCTAGTGTCAGGTCGCCACAAAAGGGATCCTTTCGAAAAGGCCGCTACAACTGGATTTTGATTGTTAGGTTATCTGCACCCTAAAAATTGCGGCATTCACAGGTTTTCCTTGCTTTTTCTTGTTTCCCCCAGTGGAAACAAATGTGTTTTATGTTTCTCCTGTTTTTCTTGTTTTCCTTTATAGTTTTCCTGGCCCCACGGTGCCGCCACTGGAGGCCCCCCACAATTAAAGCATTGTTGCAAAGCCGCCACAAAAGAAATCCTTGTGCACAGGCTGCTACAAAAGGGTTCTAAGTGTGGACGCCGTTGCAGATCCTCCACAAGTCAAATCCTGTCGTAAGGTTGCCACAAAAGGAATCCTTTTTTACAGGCGTCACAAAAAGACCTTGGAAGAAGAAGAAGGAACGGGAAGATGAAGAAGAACGAAGACGACAAATATGCATGATGAGTACACTGATGATCCATAGCGTTCCAATCGCTGGTGCCGCGCTCGGCGCGCATTCTGTTGTGCGATGTGGAAGGCCAGAGATCGGAGGCTTCGAGGAAGGTTTCTTGGCAGGAAGGCTTCCAAGAAGCCCCACTGCCTTCTTGGAAGGCTGACCCCTCGCGGCGCCCCGGTCGAGTATGCCTCTGACCTCAGGTCCCGCAGGTCTAAGACCATAGTTGTCAGGCGAAGTCTTGACGCACACATGAGCCCAAGCTTGCACAGACGTCCGACGATGCTTGTTCTTTGTTCATGCCGCGCGCCCCAGAGGTCTCGACCCCTTCCTTGGGGGGGCTTCTGTTCGTCCCTGATGCATGTTTGATGATCCCGTGTTCCGGCACGCTTTCCGGAAGCCGAATTTTCATAACAATTTCGCGAGTGAACCGATCAGTCCGCCACAGGTTTGGATGTGACAGAGGTCGAGGACTTCTGCCGGTGGTTTAGAGATGGAGCGAGGGGGCCCCACGACGAGGGACCTTGGAAATTCAGCATGGGACCCCGTCCAATTAGGGTTTAGGGTTCGGGTCTAAGGTTTAGGGCTCGGGTCTAAGGTTCAGGGCTGGTTTAGAAGGTTTAATAGGTATCAGGGTTTAGGGTTTATGGTCTAGGGTTTTGTGCTTCGGTTTGAAGGCTGATGTGTGTTAGGGTTTTGTGGTCTAGGGTGTTGTGTTTCCGGCCCCGTCCCTCAGGACCCCACCGTTGAACCGCCGATGTCGGCCCCTTGGCCACGGCCGCCCCGGGCCTCGGGGCCTCCAGGCCGTGGGCCCGAGCGACCTGTGGGCGGCCCGCGCAGGCCGAGGCCCACGATCGGGCGGGGGCCCTGCGTGCCGTGGCCGGTCCGAGTCGGGGGGTCCATCCGCACAGTCAGCACGGACAGTTCGGGGGAGCGTAAGACCCGGGTTTGCCAGGACTCGGGTTCGCCATCGTTTTTTGACGACCGCGCCTCGGATTTTGACGACCTCGTCGGGGATTTCCGAGTCCCCTGTACCCAGGTCTTACGTCCCCCTGGACAGTACGGATGTTAAGGGTCTCGGCTGCCTTGGCACGCCCGTGTGGATAAGCAGCACGTGCCGTGCTCAAGACGTCCGTTATGACACGCTGCGTGTGGGTTCGGCACGTGTTGGTCCACGTTTCGGCGAGCGTGCTGCGCCAGACCTACGTTTCTAGCTTGCGTGTTGAGCTCCGTGCCAACACGCTACGTGTTGCGTGCTGCGTCTCGGGGCAGCCAAGGCCAGGACGAGCGATTCTCCAAGGTTGCCCTTGCATCCTTCCCCTGCGGCCCATGCCTGGCCACTTCTGCTGGCCGCGCCCCGCTCGAACAAGTGTCGGCATGGCCTCTTCCGGGCCCCTTGCATCCTGACCGTGCATCTTTCTCACGCGCGCTGGCTGTGCATGTCGCCGAGCGCGTGCCTCTACTCGCAGAGTGCCTGCTCGCAAAAACTTCCGAAAAGCACCTGTCTGCTTTTGTTGCCGTTTATCGTAGATTCCCCGCGGGGGATCCAGGCCACTCTGCGAGCAGTCACTTCGCGAGCAGTGGCACGCGCCTTCGTCGAGCAGGGCCGTCGCCTGGGGAGCGGCCTCCGCCCGCCCGGAGCGGTCGTGGTCAGGCTCCCGCCTCGCGGCCGCGGCCCCAGGGGCCCAGGCACCGGGGCACCAGGCGCGAGGCCTCGGCCCGCGAGCCTCTGCGGGCCGAGGCCCCTGGGGCGGAGAGGCCCTAGTCGTCGTCGTCGTCGACGTCGTCGTCGTCGTCGTCGTCGTCGTCGTCGTCGTCGTACTCGTACTCGTACTCGTACTCGTACTCGTACTCGTACTCGTACTCGTACTCGTACTCGTACTCGTTCTCGTTCTCGTACTCGTAGTCGTACTCGTACTCGCACTCGTACTCGTCGTCTCGGTCGTAGTAGTAGTAGCCCTGCGCGCTGCCGAGGCAGGCGGCGAGGGGGCGGGGGGGCGCGCCGGCCCAGCTCGATGTGTTCCCCCCCTGAGCCGGTCACCCCCGAACGTTGCCCCTCACCATGGGGCTGGCGGCACGAAAAGGGTGGGTCGTTGGGGGCGGAGCTGAACGAAGGCTCGGGCAAGCCTTCCGAAGACAAGGGGGCGGGGGACGCACGGCGCCAGCGCCTCGGGCTCGGGCGTGCGGCGTTCACGCTAAAGTCTACCCCCAGTCATCCATCCATCCATCCATCCATCCATCCATCCATCCATCCATCCATCCATCCATCCCGCATCCCTCCCGCGTGCCTCGAGGCCTCGGGAGCTGTCCAGAGGCCCACAAGGGGCCGGCATCGTCCTGGAACCTGGATCCTGGAGCCTCCTCCGCGCGAGAAGGTTTACGTCATAGGCGAGAGGGGCATCTGCGAGGAGCTCGATCTGATCGGCGTCCCCTGGATGGGAGGCGAGAGCGACGCGAGCAAGAAGCCAGACATGGGCAAGGGCGGCAGGGTCGAACACGACCACGATGTAGGCGGGACGGCGAGGAGGAGCAGGAGATGGAGAAGCATGTAGGACGGATCGACGATCGAGGATCCAGATTCAGGCACGTTTTCGGGCAGATTCGGATCTCCAGAGGCTCCTGATGCCTCCGGAAGCTTCCTTCCCGAAGGCCTCCAGAGATTGCTAGAAACCTCCAGACCACCCCGGGACGTCCAGAGGGAGGAGGAGGAGGAGGATGCGGAAGAGTAAGTAGCCACTCTGTTGTAAAAGACAGAAAGGCGTAGTGAGTATGTGGGAAGCAAGGACCATCAATACCCACCCTGGAGGGCCGTCCCGCATCCCTGCCGGGCCGCCAGCTCAGAACGCGGCCGCGGTCGTCGCGCCGTCCGCCCGGGCGTCTCTGCGTCTGCCGGCGGGTCTTGATCGCGAGATGGTGAGCTTCGTTGCCGCCTCCTGCTTTGCGGCCGCCGCCTCCTCCTTTTTCTCCTCCTCGTCCTCGTGGCCACCCCGCCCTCCTGCTGGCCTTCGCGTCGCCCTCCGCGGCGAGCCCCTCCTGCCTTGCTGCTGCCGCCGCCTCCTCCTCCTCGGCGGAGCTCCTCCTGCGCCTTCCTCTTGGCACCCTCCAGGGCCGCCTCCTCTCGCTCCCCGTCGCCCTCGTCTTTGTAGGAAGCAGCGGTGCGCAAGTAGCATTCAATAAGCAGTAAGTAGTGGGTGGTTCGCCGCAAGAGGGGGACGGGGGCGTGACAAGGGAGGAGGAGGAGGAGGAGGAGGAGGAGGAGGAGGAGGACCAGTGTACATCCAAGAATCATTAGCGATGTTACCATACATCCTCCTTTCAAGATCCCTCTTCACAGGCCCCATCAAGTGTTTACATTAAGGGAAGTACCCGATGAAAGACAACCGATTGAGAACCCCCAACCGTGAAAAAACACGATTCCTGGGACTTCAGTGCCGGAGATCGACGTGACCGCTACGTCCTGATGATGTAAAATCGTGCCCTAACAGAACACAATCCCTGGGACTTCAACACCGCGAATCGACCTGACTGCTGCGTCCTGACAGTCCTAGACCGCACCAGAACACCATCTTCGGGACCCCATCCATACGAACGGTTGAACATGTTGTAACGTTTCAGAACCAGTGTGCGCGGTGCTAAGACGAGAGCGACAGTTTGAAAATGGGTCGTCCTCTATATGTGAATATGTTGCAATATTGTATGACGAATGGACGCGGATCTAAAGCGAGAGCCGTATGTTTGAACACGGCCCGCCCTCCATATTCGAAATTGTTGCGACTGTTTAGGACGAAAGTGCGCGGCACCGAGGCGAGAGACGCACGTTTGAAAACGATTCGCCCTCCTTCCGTGAAGCGGCTTCAATTCTTTACGACGAGTGTGCCCTGCGCTAAGGCGAGAGCCACATGTTGAAAACGCCTCGCCATCTTTCCGTGAAGTTGTTGAACATGTGCGCGGCGTGTAGGCGAGAGCCACATTCTGAAAAGGGCCCGCACTCCATCCGTGACACGGTTGCAGATATCAAGCCCCAGGATCACACATGGTGATGAAGTCTCAGACGAAGCGCCCCGCCCGCCCTACCGACACGTCTGGGGGCGACAAGGAGAGGTTATGCATATAGGGATGAACGGAAGAGGTCGCCGGCTAGCAGTGTCGCTTAGAGCGTGCTCTGCTTGTTCGGTTTGCTCTGTCTGTCCCACCTGCGCCACCGCCGCGAGGGATGAGGAGGAGCAGGAGCAGGATCAGGATGCCTTTCTTCGTCTGCCCGTGCAGATCGCGCCGAGAGTTCAGGTGTCGGCAAGGTGGGAGATTAGTGCGAGGCAGCGGGGGGGAGGGAGCTCATGGGTCAGCAGGATGAGGACGAGGACCAGGAGGGGTAGGAGTTGAGATGTTCTCTGGAAAGCTGGCTGGCCCCCTCATAGTCCTCCTCTCCCTGCTCATCCCCTTCCAGGATGGTCCTTTCCTGAGACCATGCTTCGATGCGGTTCGTAAGGGGTCCCTGTCGATGTCGTGGTCGTGATGTTTGTTGATATGTTCGGGGCCCGCTTCCCTTAATTCAAGTCGCTTAGACCTTTCGCCGACCCCCATAAGGAGTGAGTGTTTGAGACGATCGTGGGAGTTCTATCTTGGGTCAGGAGCCTCCTTGATGAATATGAGGGTCTCTTGGGATCCTCCCTGGGGCCTCTTGGAGGACTCTTGGGGGCATGTGGAGCGCTTGTTTGGGCCTCGTGGTGGCCTTCGGGGGGCTTCTTGGGGGGCGTCTTGGAGGCCTCTTGGGGCCTATTGGAGGGCCCTGGGAGGCCTCTATGGGGCACGAGGGGCCATCTCGGCGGGAGAGGCTCGAAATGTCAATTCGTATTTCCCCTCTTGGGCTTTCTTGGAGCCCTCTAGGGGGCCTCCAGGGGCTGTCTTGGGCCGTCTTGGGGGGGCCCCTGGGGCTGTCTTTGGGCCCTCTTGGCCCGTCTTGGGGCCTTCTTGGAGGCATCATGGGCCGTCTTGGGACGATCTTGGGGGCCACTTGGGCCGTCGTGTTCGCTGCACGTTTTCCCACGAGAATGGAATGAGTTTGGCCTCTTGGGGCCCTCTCGGCGATCCTCAGGAGGCGCTTTTGGGTTGTCTTGAGGGCCTCGTGGGCCATCTTGAAGCCACCTTGGATCGTCGTGCGGCTACCCTGGGCCGTCATGACGCTCTCTTTGATTGTCTTGGCGCTCTGTCTGGGCCCTGTTGGGCTGTCTTGACGCTTTTGGGGAGCTCCAGAGGCCCCTGGGGTACGTTGACGAGCTCGTCCCCCTACCAGCCCCCCCCACCCATCCCCCTCGAATCGGGCTTTGGACTGTGGGGGAGGGGCAAAGGGCAAGCTAGGTGCGCTTGCGTCACATCTGACGTCCTACCCCTCCCTCCCATCCCTTACCATGGCGTAGATATTCTGTCTATTCGCACAGTCGTATGTCGAGCAGGGCAATGGTCGCGAGAGGGTGCGCGGTGCATCGTAGAGTACGGCATGGCATGGCGTAGAAGAGCACGGCAGAGCGTATAATATCATAGCATGCCGTGGCATTGCGTAGTGAAGTATCGCATCACAAAACATTGCAACGCAAAGCATGGCATCGCACAGCGGTGCAGAACAGAACACCGCACAGCATGTCATGGCAGGGCACCGGGTTCTTTGGAGGGTCAATGGATCGTCTTCGAAGGGTCTGGGCTGATCTGGAGTCGCGGCTCCATGTGTAGCTCCCTGGGCTCCCCGAAAAACTCCCCACAAGGCGGGGCTGATGGTGAGCACCCGCTGGCTCCGCTTGCAACATCGCCTGCTGAAAGCACAAACGGTGCTCCCGCTTGACACTTCCTCCAAACGACGCCACCCCGAAGTGGGGGCCCTTCTGCAGCCCAAAAACTCAACGAATCGACACAAGATATGGAATCACTTGCGATGTTTGTTTTGTCTGGGAGTCATTTTCTAAATTAAAGGCTTATTTGGAAGGACCGAAAACGCCCGCGATACAGCGGAAGCACGCTCTGGAACAACCACAGGCGCAGAGATGGAGCCAGCGCTGCAGCGGGAACAACATTCTGGAAGAAACCAGCGAAAACTAACTCCCGGGAGTCTTGTGTGAAAGAAGCCATACGCGGAGGGGGTCCGGACATCTTCCCGACGTCATCAGGGGAGAGAGAAGAGTAGTATCTATATTGTGCAGGTGTGGAGGGGGACAGCCAAATGATTCACACGCCTTTTCACCCCTAGCAAGCGGGGGTCGGCGGACACGGTGACCACGAACCGAGCTCATCCCCCTCGCCCTCTCCAACATTAGGGGGAAGCGCGAGGCCGCCTTCCAGGAGCAGCATGGTGACCCCGCGTGGGGATCCCGTGGGAAATAAGGCATCCCCTGCGTACCAGCGACCCGGATACACACGGCGTGGCCGGCTTGGGCGAGGTGCGCAGATCTTTCCAGAGTTCGGATATTGTGTGATTCGGTGCAGCAGGGTTGCGAGACCTCGACCCGGCGGCGACGCCAGCGCGGGCGTTTAAGGTTGAAGGCAACCAGTACTGAATGATCTCCGTGGCCGGACAGCGCGAGTCGTGCAATTTCGTGAGATCTAGTCGAAATCAATCAACACACGCGTCGTTCCGACAGTTATTGGCCAGCTGCACGCCAGCCCTCCACGTGTTCATAGCGCGCGTGGCCTTATGTTCTGCATGCGAATCCGGCCGTCTGGTCTTTCTTCCTGGCGTGACCCGTGGCACTCCCAGTCACCAACCACACACTCGGAAAAAGAGCCCCACGGGTGCGCCGCGCAGGGCATCGGTGCACGGCAGGAGGATTAGGGGGGGGGGAAGAGATGGGAAAGGGAAAGGGAGAATGGAGCGGAGAGGGGAGGGGATGGGAACGAGGCGGGGGTGGCGAGGGGAAGGGATCGGACCGGACCGGATGAAGGCCCATGGTCATTTTGTAAGAGATCCTCTGCACAATGTGAGGCAAGCCAAATGACATAAGAGACTGGGAAACTCCATCCGAGCCTGCCCTGACTGCCAGGAATGCAGCTCGAGGAAAAGGTAAGAGAAGGAGAGTGGGGATTGGAGAAGAGAGAAAGGAGACAGGGGAGGGGAAGGGAGAAGGGAAGGGGGAGGGAAGGGGAGCTGAGGATGTAGATGGGGCCAATGCATCAGGGGCTGGAGTTTTATTTCCGATTAGTTCGTTTAGTTTCTGTACTTGAAACTAGAGGCTAGAGGGCGATCATAAGCTGCACGCTCTGCATCAGATGAATCATTTATTGGTGTTGTTGGTGTTGTCTGCTCACAAGCACTGGCCATTGAGTAGGTATGGCATGGTTTGACCATGCGCTGCGTCAGTCAAAGGCGTATCGCAAATATGATGTATGATCGCACGCATACGAAATCTTCTCTTAGGATATACTGCTCATTGCAAGCCCCATTACCGATGTGTCGTCACACGGGTTCTGTTGCACAATCAACTGCGATATTGCCGCGTCGGTATAGATGGATATGTGTTGATCCTCTGCGTTCCTTCTTGCAGGTGCCGTCATAGTTGGATTTGATCGGCATGTGAATTACTTCAAAATCCAGTACGCCCAGTTGTGCATCAACGAGAACAAGGGTTGCGAGTTCATTGCCACGAATTTGGACAAGGTTAACATGGCCGCGCCCCAACAACGCGTGCGCTTGGGCCGTATCGGCACAGCACGTGGTTGCGAGAGCATCGCACACATGCCCACGTTCGCTCCTTCACGTGCTCTATCCTCTTGCCCCTCCTGAGTCTCCTCTCCGGCACCCTTTTCTCCCTCATCCTCTTCGTTTTCTTCCCTTCTTCCCGTCCTCCACACCCCAAGGCCAATTTGCATGCAGGATTCGGTGCCCATCGACCGGTTGAATATGACATCAGTCCACGGGCCATGAAACAACCCAATGGGCGCACCGCAAAACAGAAAACAACTGCACATTGGGCGTCTGATTGGTGCTACAAGCTAGCCGCCCTACGGCTGCCACGCGCGCCTCACCCGGGGGAGGGAGAATACTCCTCCTCCTACTCCTCCTCCTCGTCCTCCTCATCCTCCTCCTCCTTCTCCTCCTCCTCCTCCTCCTCTCCTCCCTGCTGCTCCTCCTCCTCCTCCTCCTCCTCCTCCTCCTCCTCCTCCTCCTCCTCCTCCTCCTCCTCCTCCTCCTCCTCCTCCTCCTCCTCCTCCTCCTCCTCCTCCTCCTCCTCCTCCTCCTCCTCCTCCTCCTCCTCCTCCTCCTCCTCCTCCTCCTCTCCTCCCTCTGCTCCTCCTCCTCCTCCTCCTCCTTCTCCTCCTCCTCCTCCTCCTCTCTCCTCCTCCTCCTCCTCCTTCCTTTTCCTCCTCCCCCTCCTCCTCCTCCTCCTCCTCCTCCTCCTCCTCCTCCTCCTCCTCCTCCTCCTCCTCCTCCTCCTCCTCCTCCTCCAGGTGACCCACCTCACCGACGCGCAGGAGTGGGCCGGCAACGGGAGCATGGTGGGCGCGATCAGGCCCGATGGGGCCGTCGGGACTGCAGTGCGCCAGCTCCCCCCGTTGCGCGGACGCGGCACGCCTGCTATCGGATCGACGCGCCCAGGGGTGAAGTGAGAGGAAGGGAGCGGGCTTTCTCAGAAGGCGGTGGGGCTTTTCAGAATCGGGTATGGCCAGGACCCCAGGTAAGGGGACCCCGTCAGCGGTAGGGCCCCAGAGCCCCTGAATTCGCCGGAACCACTAAACCAGGTTTGCCGTAGGTGGTGTTTTTTCGGGTTGCGGTAGTTCCGGTTAGTGGAACGGGGCGGGGGGGTCGTCCCCAGTACGCATCATTAAACCAGGTCCCACTAAACCCAGTTTTGCCAACGCCCGACAGAAGCTGGCCGGCCTTTTGGGAAGCCGCCTGTGTTTTCGGAGAAGGCTCAGGAAGCATCTCAGAAGGCCAGGAGCCTCTTGAGCCTCCTGACCAGGCCCATTTCCTCGGCCTCTCCCCGTGGCGCGCCGCCAATTACCGACAGCGATTCGCAACGCACGGCGCCTGCCGCCGTGCTCCCAGAGGGCCCTGGGGGGCCTCGCCGCGGCGGGCTCTGGCGGGAGGGGCGTGGCCGCGGAAGAAACATCCGAAGGGCCGGCCAGGTCCTGACCGCGCCTCCGGCTTGACGATCTGTGGGGATCGGGGGAGGATGAGGAAGAGAAAGGGGACGTGTGTAAACCCAAGAGCCATCAACGATGTTGGAATACACCTTCCCTCCAAGCTCCCTCTTCACAGGCCCCTACAACGGTTCTTTTCCATTGAGTATTTGTGGGGACATCGCGAATGCTCCTCCAGCCTCGGCCCGTCGTGTCTGCGCAGAGGTCCCGCCTCTGCAGTATATGCCGCTACCGTTGGTCTCAAGATTCAGCGCGCCGAGGCCCCACGCAACCTCAGATGGTGGCGGGCCTCTGCGCAACCTTGGCGGCGGCTGGGCCCAGCGTGCTGCGAGAGCTGGCGCGCAGGGCGGTGGCCGAGGCGGCGCGGGTGGCGTTCGCGGGGGGCGCAGTCGTGCGCACCCTGTCCCGATTATCGCCCCGCCGCGTGCCTGGCTTGCCCGGGCTGCCCGCGGCCCCCGCCTTGCCCGGCGTGGGAGTGCGCCGCGGCCGGCGCACCCTGGGCCCTGGCGGCGGCCGAGCCGCTAGCGGCGGGCCTGCTGGCTGCTGGTCGCCCTGACGAGCTTCCTGGTGGGCCGCTGGAGCGTTCCGCCAGAGGCGGCCCCGAGGGTGGCCGCGGCGCGAGAGCATGTCAACCTACGAGGAGCGTCGGCCGGTGTCGCGACTGCTGGTGAGTTTCGACGGCGATGAGTGGACGCATGAGAGGATCTTGCTGCGGCCAGTCCACCGCGATCGACGACACGAGTGCTGTGTGATCGAGACCCCAGATGGCGACCGCTATGTGGAGCGGGAGGCTGACCGGCGCTGGCATGTCTCGCTGCTGCACGGCTTTCCAGAGGGTTTCAGCGGCAACGCGGTGCGTTTCCAGTCAGAGCTGGGACGAGAGGCTCTACGCCAAATGGCCGTGACCTGGCCTGGGAGGAGCGCCGACGCCGTCGGCCGCCACGGGACCTCGGCGCGCACTTGGGCGTGGAGCCGCGGTCGATGGTGGACTGGCACGGCGACGAGCGCGGCCTGGACGTCGACGCGCTGGAGGCTGCGAGGCGACGGCCGCGCGGCAAGCGGCCGCTGGCGGCCGGCGCGCGGGAGCCCGAGGCGGACGTCGTCGCGGGTTCGAGGGTGATCGGCCGTCGGTCGGACGGCCGCCCCGTGCTGCGCGAGCGCGCGAGCCTCGCGGCCGCGGAGGGGCGGCGGGCCCATTGGCGCGCCAACGCTGGCCGCCTGGCCGCGTCGGCGGACGAGCCGGCCGCCCCGCCCCCCGCGGATGATCGTGGCCCTGCTGATCTCCGCGCTGTCCTGCGCAAGGCCCCCCGTGGCGAGGTGGCGTGCACCGACGCGCCCCGAGAGGGCGGCGCTGCTGCCCATCCAGAGGGCGCCCGGACGCTCGCCGCGGAGTGGAATGAGCAGGGCGCCCGCTTCAGGGAGTGACGTCGGGCCATTGGCGAGAGCAGCGAGGAGGCGCTGGACGGCCGCGAGCTACGAGGAGCGGGGGCGGCTCTCCACCTGCACCAGCGGTTCACTCAGCACGGCGGGGATCTCAAGACGTGGACGTCCACCTTCTGCCGGGGGCGTGGCATCAGTCAGCGGGGTCGGACCTATCATGAGTTGAACTGTCTGGTCGCCATCTTCCGGCTGGCCGGGACGTCCGGCGCAGTGAACCTCGGCAGCCCGGCTTCTCTCGAGGCTGCGGCCCGCCGAGTGGCGCAGATCATTGAGGCGCGCGGGGTCGCGCCTGGGCAGCCCGCGGCGCGGGAGGCAGCTCGCTTCCTGGCGGGGGCGAGCGACCCCTTCGACGCCGCGTCGCCCGAGCTCCGCACGTTCGCGAACCGCGCTGCCCGCGACGAGGCCGACCGCCTGGCCGCTGGGTCGCGGGCTGACGCCAGCGGCCGGCGGCCGCGGGGCTGGCGTCGTCGTGGACGCGGCGGCCGCGCTGGAGATTGGAGGCCTCTCTCGAATTGGGGCCGACGACGGCGGGGGCAAAGCCTACCCCTCCACAGGCGTGATCCCTGTGATTTTTTGGTGGTTGGGGGGCGCCCGAAGGCCCCCGCCCCCCCCCCCCCCCCCCTTTTCAACCCTTCGCGCGTTCGTCGCATCACCATCGCGCTGTTATTAATTATCTCAACGTCAGCATTGCCATCATCATCCCAACACCGCGGACGGCACCATTCATGTTTTCAGCGCGTGATCCGCGGGATATGTATGTATGTATATGTATGCGTATGGATTTACAACCGCGCGTCTATAATACACATGTACATGAACATGCATGCGTGGCGATTGAGACATGTGTATATCCCCACATGCTCGAGATGCATATTATACATACGTATGCGATAAATATATACATACATATGTATATATATATATACACATTCATATGTGTATATATATATGCACATATACATGTGTATGTATATATATGCACATATACATGTGTATATATATGTATCAACATATACAATGTATATACATAATTGTATAGGTATGTGCAATAATTACATGCACGCTATATTTATATGTATGAAATACATTATACTTACATATACAGGCGCGTGCGACAGGCCAGTTTGGGACGGGCTTGCGCTTTGGGCAACCATGCCAAAAAAACAATTATTTGGGCATTCCCCTGAAGACCCTCCCGGGCCTCCTCACTCCCTGGCCCCCGGTCTCTTACCCTTGAACCATTTTCGCTTCCACGGCGCAGCGGCGGCCACGAAGGCGGGGCACAAGCGGCGAATGAAGGCAGGTTTGATCAGATTTGACAAATCGCGCGCAACCTATATTTCACAAGCCGCCTGTGGTCAAGTTGACCAGGAGGATTCATTATATCTCACACGCCGCATGTGGTCGATTTGACCAGGAGGATGCATTATATCTCACACGCCACGCGTGGTCAATTTGAGCAGGAGGATGCATTATATCTCACACGCCACGTGTGGCCAATGTGGCATCTGTGGGGAGACCCAATTTCGTACTCAGACACACGCGCATTGCCAGATTCGGACCACTCACGCTACCAGACTCATTCATATTCAGACCACTCGCACTCAGACCATCCATATTCAAGCTCACTCGCACTCAGACTCACTCACGCTCAGGCTCATTCGCTCATTCGCGTTTGCGACCTTGGTGCATTTGGCATTGAGGACGACAAAGACGAATGTCGGTTTTGCAGTTGAAGTGTCGGTGTATAGCCGTTTGGGCTCGAGGATGAAATTCAAGCGAAGGTCAGCTTCGCGTGCAACCCCAACCTCGTTGAAAGCGCTCTCCAAAAGTCAGCAAACACATGTGTCTGAATGCAGCCTGGAGAGCTGCGATTTGCGTACGTGCATTCTCTTGGCCCCCAGATGGAAACGTGAATTTCACGTCGACCTGGAGGCGCCCGATCTTGGCTCTTGGTTGCATTGGAACCCAAAGGACGATGGAGTGAAAGCAGGATGTCTTGTATGCAAGGCCGTCAAGAATAACACTGACGCAGCGAAGTTTGATTGGACAGGTCCTTTTCGCTTTACGAAGCTTCTCAACCACAGCTCGACGCATGCGCACAAAGTGGCCATTGCGAAATTTCTTGGTAAACCTGCCCCCACGGCGCTCAGTGATTGCCCGAGCGAAAACGATTTCAAAGTAGTACTGCAGAAACTCTGAGAGGGCCCTTCTTGGATGAGAGGAGTTCCTGGTGTTGGCAAGCATGGCAAAATTCAGCGAATGCTACAATGTTTGGCTGAAGCAGCGCGGCAACGAGACCTAGCATTTCTCCGAGATAGCAGATCAGTGGGAATACATGCTGACGCATGTGGCAAGTGGCAAACTATCAGGTTCTCTGCAGCTTGTCGCAACGGCACTCACAGGAAGGGCATTTTGTATCAAGTGAATCACACAAAAGCCAGCGTTGGTTCTGAAGGCCTCGTAGAATGCTGCATTGAGGCGATATCACAGTTCTGCACTCCTCTATTGCCAGTTTTGGGAGATCGAGACGATGCCCTTCGGGATCACATAACGAGCACCATTGATTTTTATCACGCCGATGCAGCAGCAGACGAACAAGCAACTGGCCGTGTTCTCCGGGATGACGCTGCGCTTGCATTTATTGGATTCAAGATTATTGGGAAGGACAAGACGCATGCTGCGCGCAGGACACGTTTTCTTTCAATTAGTTGGAACGCCCAGTATATGAATTGAGAACATGTGCGATACTTCCACACATGCATTGAAGCACAACCCCCACATATGTTCATACATACGCGTATCACACATGTATTATATCACAACATACTACAAGATTGGAAGAACATATGATTACATCACACATTTAAACACGCATGTTTGCAATTACTGTCGCGCCCCCATGGGCAATTGAAATACTCAGCGCCCCCAGGGTTGTATCTCGACCGTGGAAGGCCGACGATTTCTGTCACGATATGGTTCAGATGCTTCTCCTTCGGAAGAAAGCCATATTAAAGTTGATCCGGCACAGTCCGTTTTGGCAGCAGAAGTTCAATGAATATGTTACCGACTTGGATGCAAATCCAATTGCAGCATCGTCCAAGCAGATTCGTCGCACAAGGGCGGCACTTCATCGCTTCGAATCTAATGCGGCTCCTCTGGCTCGGGCTTGCTTACTTTTGAAGGCATTCATCATGGTGGCAGTTTCAGCGGCGACAACTAGGAATAACACGACCGAGGGCGATGAAGCGAAGGAGTTTTTAGGTCACGGGCCTAACGCTTGGAATCAAGGAGATGGGTGGACCAATTTTCGAGCCGCGTCCAACCGTCGAAACTCACCGGTCGATCAGATCGTTTTGGACCCTGGACCCTGGATCCTCGACTGGGACCGCATTCCTTCCCCTTCCAATCCCTCTCCCCCATCCCCTCCCACCATCCCTCCGTTTCCGTTTCCCCCCTCGCTTTCCCGGTGCCCCTGTCCCGTTCTTGTCCTGGGGGTCCGGGTGCTAAGGTTGGCTCTCTGCTGAGAAATTACTCCAACTTGCCATGCTTGCCGATGCCGCGGATGACGGCCCAGCCAGATTGCCGATTGCCATTTGCAGGCTGTCTGCCATACCGATAGCCTTAGACGATGAAGAAAATGAAGGGGGGGACAGATGGCGGGGGCAGGGGAACCTTTGGGGACGTATATAGGAAATACCTGAGATTCCACGGACAGGGTTCAAGAAATGGCAAAACAAAATGGGCGCTTTGTTTGCGAATGGAGGGTGCACCCGGCACGGCTATACTCGTGAAGTCATCAACACCCTCAGCGACCCCATCACGATCCCATCCCAAGTTCTGCCAGGCGACGTCCCGAAAATAATCCAACTCAATTTTCAAGAGGGTCAACATTCTGACGTAGTGGACAGGTGCCTCAATCGAATGCGATGTTACGTTGCCATGGCTGTTAGTGTAGTCCAAGCAGAATACCCTGCATGGGAGATCATACAGAGCTTCCGTTTAATGGACTTGGATCCTGGCGCCCCCAACCCCGGTAGTCTTAACGACGGTCAGCGGCGAGATTTACGCCGACTTGCATTACTTGCGAACGTGGGCCCCGACGAGGCCCCCCGGTTGCCATCCCAATCGCGTCCCTTCCCTCCCGCTTCCTGCCCTTGTCAATTCCCTCCTCCCCGCCCCCCTCTTCCCCTCCCTCATCCTCCTCCCCCCCTCCTCCCCCTGGTCCTCATCCGCCTTTCCTTTTTTCGATTTCTTCTGTCTCCCTCGTTGAGCCGCCCAGGCAGAAGGTCAATTTCTAGAGCTGCGTGCCCACGCCTTGCAGGAACGGGTGGATTCTGCAGACTGTGACAATTTGAAAGCTTGGATGTCAGCTCTCTCTATGTTTAACAGGCGCAAGAACAAGCACTTGCTGTCACGCGTGTCCCACATTGGGCCGATCCTTGCACGGTATGCTATATACACAGGTTGGACAACAAGTGGCATCGAGTCAAACAACAGCATCCAGCAATTGTTGCAACATAAACGACGGATGGGCCTCACAGACGATAACGCCAGATCTGAAATGAAAGTGCGAGTTGATGTGACACCAGAGAACCAAAACGTTGTCATTAAGCTTGCTCAGAAGGTGTGGAATAAACTATACAAAGGTACCAGGCGTTCGTTTCGCAAGAAGCTTGCTTTCAAGAGAGGGCGGGTGGAAAACACATTGTCTGGATTCAAGCGCAAACGGAGGAGTGATGCTGAAACATTAGCTACGACGGCACCTTCCAGATCACTGGTCGACACCAGGAAAAGCGCCAGGCAAACAGGGAGTCAGTGTTGGAATGCCAAAATGAAGAAAGAACTTGATTTCAATGATCTCAAACGTTTGAAACAGTTTTATCAAAGCATACATGAAGGCACGATCTTGCCTGAGGAGATCGAGTCAGGCGACGAAGAGTTGGCTGCCGAGCTCATTGCTGAAGGAGAGAGGACGTTGAAAAAAGACATGGGCTGGTCATAAGAAAACACAGACAACTTCTACGGAGCAAGCGTTCTACGAGAGATGGTAGTCTCCTCGGCAGCTCAGTGTGCATATGTGCGAGTGCTAACAACGACGATACCTTAGGAATTCTCATGGCAAACAGATGCACCCGGGTCGATAATATGCACGAGGCGACTCTGCTCCTTTTCAACGGCGATGCGCCAGGTGCCAAGACTTGCTGGACAGCGATGCTCCAGGGCGGTACCGTGGCAACGCCGCTCTACCTAAGCTCGGAGGGCAAGAAGGGGATCGCCTTGCGGTATACCGCCGCGGTCCGCACAGGGCAAACTCCCACAACTATTGTTTGCATTTTCGTTTTCGCCGGTGGCCCCGTCGGGGTCGGCAGGCGGAATTTTTATGGGTTGCGAGGTCGCGCGGCCTGGATTGCCCCAGAGATTACGTTGCGCGGCGCATCCCTAGCCCTTCCAAGCCAGGTCGGAATCAAGAAGACAACTTTCATATCTGGTGGTTTTGCAGCTCGTCATCCTGACATGTATAGTATCTTACGCACTGCTATTCGCAGACCTACGTCTAAGTGGACACAGCTTGGCACCAAGGCTTGAGATCTTGGCGGCCGTGGCCGCGCTGCCCGTTCACCAGCCGTTCGGCGCGATCGCCGTCGTGACCGCGGGCAAGAAAGCCCAGGAACCTTTTTTTTCGACGCTGTCATCTGATGGACCTCCTCCTCCACCTCCTCCTCCTCCTCTTCCCTCCTCCCTGTTCGCCCTCGTGTTCCTCCTCCTCCTCCTCCGCCTCCTCCTTCCCCCCCTCGTCCTCCTCCTCGTCTTCCATGTAATCTTCCATCGTTTCTGCTTTTCAACCTCCCCCTCCTCCAAGGGCAACACCTCCTTCTTCTGCTGCTCTTCCCCTTGGGGGGGGCTTAGGCCGCTGCTCCCAGGCCGTCTTGGGCCCTTGGACCGCCTTGGCAACATATCGAGACCACCTTGTGCTCTTCAGGCCATCTTAGCCGTCTTGGAGCCCGCCTGGGCCGTCTTGGATGGCATCTCATCTCCTAGGCCATCCCCCCGGCGGCGCGGAGATTGTCGCGCTTTGCACATCGCGGCATGGGTCGGAGAGGCGCCCTCCTGAATTAGGGGGGCCGTGCGAGAGCGCGAAGATAACCGCAAGTCGCGGTTCGCCAGGCGCGACGCGCGAAGTGAGGTGGCGAAGTTAGGTGCCACATCCTCGATCTTCAGCCGTTTGGGCGAGCGAGTGTGTTTTTTGTCACGGCGCCACGTTGCGCCCCTTTCGGCCATGGCGTCGGCAAAGGGGGAGACGAAGATCACAGTGGTCAAGCTGTGGATCGAAGGGATGCCCGAATACATGCACAATATGACCCTCAATGTCCCTGGCCCCACGCAGATCCAATTCTGCAAGAACGCGGGGTGCACCAAGGTCCGTTGGGCCACGGAGGAAGATGACACGGAGGCGAATGATGATGAGGAGGAGGAGGAACATGATCAGAAGCCCGGGAGAATGATGAGATGTAGGAGGAGGAGGAGGAGGAGGAGGTGGAGGAGGAGGGGGGATGAGACGGAGGAAGAGGAGGATCAGGAGGAGGAAGCGGATGGAGGAGAAATACTTGGTAAAGTTTCCCCAGTTCGACGTGAGCTCGGTGCACGCACGGTCAATCCCGCCTCCTGGGTTCACGGCTAATGTCAAGGACGTCGTCTTCGTGGGTAATGTTGGCGGCGAGGTCCAGACCTTCCAGCCAGCGGCGCCTGTGGCGCCGGTGGCTTCGGCGAAGGATGACGGGTACCAGTCGCCAGCTGCGGCCACGGAGGCTCCAACCATGCCTGCGGCCAACGCGGCCAACGACGCGGTGCTCCCGCACCGTGCTCCTGGCCCCCAGCCTGCTCCTGAGGTGACTCCTCAAAAGAGGGCCATCCACGACCCCGTGGACTTGACCGCCGACGCTGATGGCCCAGACTCAGGTGCTGCTATGCCGCCGCCAGTGAAGTCGAGTAGGGTTGGTGATGCTATGAGTGGCAACAAGGTCCAGGAGCCCCTCGCGATCTCGCCGTTCACCGACGCGCTGGAGGGGTTGGGCGCAGGCTCGGCCAGCAGTGGCAGCGGCGCGAAGAGCTTCGCGGCGGCGGCGGACTCGGTGGGCAGTCTTGCTGATCTGACCGGTGGCATGAGCGATGCGCTGGTGGGCGGCCCAGACGACGGCTGGAACCTTGACGGCACGCAGCTGCCGATGGGCTACGGCGACCACGGGCAGCTGCTGGACTTGCCCGAAGACTCCTTGCCGCGTTGATTACCCGGCGCCAGACTAGCGCGCCCAGCGCATTTGCGTGCGTGCGCACGTCTTTTGATTTGAACAGCGGCTGGTTGGGTACAGTCGCGCCTCGGGACAATATTAACAATGCGATCAGCGCATTGTTTTAGCAATAGATCCATGAATATATTCGTCATCCCCCCCCTGGTCCTCTCCCCCTTCTCCTCCCCCTCCCCCTCCTCCTCCCCCTCCTCCCCTTCCTCCTCCGACGCCTCCCTGATTCGGGCTGCTGCTGCTGCTGCGAGCTGCTCCTCATCCCCCCCCCCTCTCTTGCCAATGACCTTCTCCTCCTGGCCCCAATTCGGAAGTCCTGCAGTGGCCCCGAGTTCGGCCGCAGTGGGGCCCAGGGCAGGAATGTCCGAGTCTCTGGCCCCCTTTGCATTCCGCTGCCTCCGCGTCTGGAGGGCGCCCGGGTGTGTGGGGAGTCGGCGAGAAGCCGATGCCGATCCCGTCGTCCGTCGTCGTTGTTGCCGCACGGATAAACAGCCTCGCGCTCCTAGCCTGACCTCCAGAACACCAAGAGTGCGCTCGTCGGGGCGGTGTTCCGAAAGAAACTAGACAAGCCAACAGTGATCAGGATGGGCCTGTGCGCCAGGTAGTTTCGGACTCCCGATGCCGCAGCGGTCGTTTGTTTCGAGTCGTCCTAAAGGAGGACGAGGAGAGGGTGAGAGGAGAGGTCGGGTGCTACGGCAAGGGGTCGATCCGAGGCTCGATCGACGCCGATGCAACGCCGTCGCTGGGGGACGAGAGGGAGGAGGAGGAAGTGAAGGAGGAAGAGGGGGATGAAGATATGAGGATGAGGAGGAGGAGGAGGAGGACGACGAAACGGAGAAAGAGGTAAGGTTCCAGAATCCGCCCCCCCCCCCGCGAAAGTGAAACCCCGGGGGGGAAGGGAGGGGGGGAGGAGAAGGAGGAAGCGGAGGAGATGAGACCAGCGCGGTTGGCCGGTGATTCAAGCCCGCCGCGCTCGGCGACGTCACCGATTTTGACCCCCCCCCCGCGCTCGGTGACATCGCCGATTTGGACCCGCCCGCGCTCGGTGGGCCCCCCGCGCTCGGTGACGTCACCGATTTGGACCCCCCCAGCGGGCCCTGACCTTCGAGAGGCCGAGGTGTAGCACCTCGACTTCTCGAAGCTCGGTGCCGCCACCTACCTTCGTAACCTCGGCCGTTGGCCCCCACCTCGCCGAACGGAGGTCGGTGACGCCACTGAAACCCAGCCTGGCTGACCTCCGTTTGACGAGGTGGGGTCGCGGGGCCGAGGTTTCGAAGCTCGGTGTCGCCACCTACCTTCGAGACGTCGAGGTTCAGCACCTCGACCTCTCGAAGGTCGAGCGGCGTTTTCACTTCGTCCGTATGCCAGGCTTGCTCAATGCTTCCACGACGTTGCTAGACTCTCAAGCTTCCCTCACACACTCTGTCCTACACCATGGGTGGCAAAAAACGCCAGGCAGCCAGAAAATCTGACGTGTCCGCCGAGGCTTTGGAGAGGGCCGCGGCCCAACGGAAACTGAACACCGATGTCGAATCGATGCCTGCTGTGAACCACGAGATCCAGAACCGCGTCGAGAACGCACTGGCTGCGATGTATGCGAACCCCATCTTCGAGAATATAATGCACCAGGACGCCCTGCCTATAGAGGACGACGATGACCCTACATGGTGGGCTTCAAAGAGCCCTTCGACCCAGACAAGTTTGCGACGTCCTGGGGGGCGAACCAAAAGTACGAGTGCGGTGGTAATCTGTTTTGGCTGAATATGTTTTGGACTCCATCTTCTAACGTTCCAGTGAGCACGGAGGTCATCGAAAACCAGATTTCCTTCCACTTCAACAAGCCCACGTCCGAGTTCCCCCCCCCCCCGGTGGCGATAGCGTTCAACGACGACAACGCCAAGGGGCCCGGGAAGGAGAAGGGCCGCATGCAGTGTGTTAGCACGGAGGAGACGAGGTGCCTGCTCTCCGTCCGTCCGTCCTCTTCCTCCTCCTCCTCCTCGTCCTCCTCCTTCTCCTCCTACTCACCCTCGTCCTCGCCCTCCTCCTCCCCCCCCCCCTGCCCCGAGGTGCGCCCTGATCCTGAGCATCGCGCAATCGATCCAGGATGGCGCCGCCGACGATGACTTGAAGAATGGAAGAAATGTTTGTTATCCGTAACTTTCCACTTCGAACGATTGCCAAACGACGCCGACAAGTACATCCGCGGGTGCAACATTCGGATGCAGCTCTTGAATGACGGCGAGGACCTGAGCCGCGCGAACGCGCAGCTGATCTTCGAAATTAACTCCTTCAAGCTCAAGGTCGAGGCCGTCTCGGGCCCCCAGGGTGCTGTAGGGCCCTCGGATGCCCTCGGACGATCTGGTGGGCCCCCCATCCATGACCCCGCGCTCGAACGATCTGCTAGGGCCCTGGCTTTTCCAGCCCGACTATCCTGGACCTGGATCCTCCTCCCTCCTCCTCCTCCTCCCGGTCCTCCTCCTCCTCCTTCTGGCCTCCTCCCTCCCCCTCCCCCTCCAGCCTTCTCTCTCCATCCCCCCCTACTTGCCTTCACCCTCCCTCTCCTCTTCTCCCTCTCCTCCTCCTGGTCGGGTCGCAGCCGATTGCGTCGCCCAATGATCGGGCAGCCTAGGCTCAGCTCGCGGAGATCAATGCCGAGCAGGGGAAACAGTCCAAGCATGCCCCCAACCCCACTGCTAGCTTCATTGACACAGCGCTCACCGTCTGGAGACAAGCCCTCTGCCATGAACATTCGCAATGACATCCTGGCCTTAGAGGCCAAGTATGGTCGGATATCCCCCCTGGATGCGATGAGCAAGCTCCAGAGGCTCTGCGACAAGTCTAAAAACACGGACATCTGGGGGTGCAACAAATCCTCGATGTGGGACCTTGGGGTTCCGCCCCACACCCATGCCCCATTTTGTCTCCTTTGAAATATCCGGGGTCTGACGTCCTTCCTCCCCCTCGAACTCCAACCCCCCCTCCTCTGCCCTTTTGGTCCACTGTTCGGATGAGTCGATATCCGCAGGATGAGTTGTCGTGGACCGTGCAGGCCATCAGATACACCCTCGCGAAGGGCTACTTTACCCTGGGCGATATGACTCAGACCTGGCTCGCCGGCAAATCGAATGGCGATAGAGGCTTCATCGACGCGTCCACCCTGAAGAAACCCATGCTGGACTACATCGCCTGCACTTTCGGCCCCGCGAACGACGTCGGCGACGCCACCATGGACATCCTCAAGAAGTTCACCAAGGGCGCGCTCACCTACAACGAGGTGGCGACGGAGGCCACCGACGTGATTGGCACCTTGTCCGACGCCCAGAAGCTGGTCATCCGCGCAGTCGAGAAGCTGGTGTTCAATTGGGATTTCGTCATCGAAGGCAAGTACAAGGCCGCTGCGAGGGCGGGCAAGCCGATCCTCGAGGTTGTGGACGACCAGTTCGTCAAGGATGTCCTCGACCCCGTGGTCGAGAAGCTCAAGCAGGAGCGCATCTCCGCGGGCGCGAGCCGCGTCCTTGAGCAGCCAACGTGCCCAGCGACGCCGTCATTGTTTTTGTTGGACGAGTTGCTCGGAACAAGTGGGGGGGCCGTGAAGGAGGTAGAGGCGATGTCTGTCGAGAAGAAGACGCTGTGGCAGGATGACCCCGAGGGCAAGCTGAAAGAGTTCCGCGACCTGGCGGCGCAACATGTCAAAGAGCAAGTCCGCCTCCTCGAGGAAGGGCAGACGGCTTCGCAGCGCGCCCAAGTTTTCTCGGAGACAGCGGTCGGCAAGCTTCGCGGCGAGCCCGGTAACTACATCTGCATCCTGTACCAGCCTCCTTTCGCTGCAGAGCCAGTCACTCACCCGCGCCTGAGAGTGGCGCCGCTGAAGACCGAACATTTGACGAAGATGACGCGTGCTATTCTGATGTCGCGGAACCCGGATCTCACCTTCACCGAGGATACCGTCTTGCACCCAGGGGATGCCTACATCGTATCGGACGGTTGTCGCCACGGAAACGAGCAGCACCTTCTGTCAGGATTCAAGGGCGACAAGGGGCGGCAGCTGAAGAAGGAGAAGTGCACGACCTACGTGATGTATGACGAGGACTCGGTGAAGGCCCGCCGCGGCAAGGTCCGCACGACCCTCGACCAGCTGGAGTTCTTCTACACGATTACAGCGACTGACCGCGTTGTCAGAGATTCGGCGCGACTTCACTACTCGGGAACTACGATAGGAAACACTATTGGACCCGTGGCTCTTCCCCCATTGTCGAAGATGTGGAGCTTGTCTTTCAAGGAGAAAAAGGAGATCTACTCGTCACGGCGATGCGAGGTCGGTGGGCAGACGCCCGGGATCACCGACGACAACAAGCCTGCCAAGGTCCTGGACGATGATATCCAGCCAGTGACGTGGCACGGTCAGCCCAAGAGCCTCTACGCTGAGTTGGGCCATACGCTGAAGGCTAAAGCATTCGTGAACCTCACGTCTATCGACGACGTGCTCGCGGAGCACTGCATCGAGAACAACATTCCCTACGTGGGCTTCGTCTTCAACGAGTGCCACCGCAAGGCTCTCGAGACGCGCCTGGCCCAGCGCACCTTCGGCCTGATGCAAGATGAGAACAGCCCGCTCTACCAGCCGAAACTGTGCACGCCCCTCGGGAAGAGGCCCAAGTTGAAGCTTGAGACACCTGCGAAGGACAAGGATGCGAAGCCCAAGCCCGGGGGAGATGTGACGCCCAGGCCTAAGCCCGGGAAGGATGGGAAGGATGTGGTGCCGAAGGCTAAGGCGAAGGCTGATGCTAAGAAGAAGGCCGCGGCGAAGAAGGCGGCGCTGGTCGCCAAGCTCAAGAGGACGCAGGACGCGGAGGATCCAGATTTGGACTTGGGCCCTGATGCAGATGCCGACGCCGAGGAGGCGGAGGAGGAGGACCTCATGGACGATGACGAAGACGAGTGAATGAGGCCCCTGCCAGGCCTGCTTGCTCGCAAGCTGGGGATCCTGACCCCAGTCTTTTGAATGACTCTTCCCCTTCGCATCCCCTCCAATTCGACCTCCTCCTCCACCTCCTCATCTCTCCTCTCCTCTCTCCTCTCCTCTCCCCTCTCCTCTCCCCTCTCCTCTTCTCTGGTCTCCTCTCCTCTCCTCTCCTCTCCTCTCCTCGCCTCTTTTATTCTCCTCCCGCAGCAACGGAGGCGGGGGCTGGCGGCGCGCGCGGGGCCGTGAATGCATGACACTCTGGCGAGATCTGCCCAGCGACCGAAGCCCGTGACATTTACTTTCCCCCCTCGCCCACGCACTCCTCGCGTCTTCCCTTGATGAGTCTCGGGGGGGCGCCGAGAAGACTGATGAGGGGCCCCTGTGGAAAACCGAAGGGGCGTCCGAGGAGGAGAAGGAGGAGGAGGAGGAGGAGGAGGAGGAGGAGGAGGAGGGGGTGGAGGAGGAGGCCCCTGAGGAGGCGACAGGGCCCAGACCCTGTGGCAAATGAACAGTTACCCTCGTTACTCGTTACCACGGCTGGATCCGCCTCGCATTCCCGGTCAGACCTCGCTTCAAGATGTATCCGGGGGTCGAAGCACGGAATCGCCAGGAACGCTCCGTCTGCCTGGCTTATGAGGCTCAAGGCTTTCCGATCCTGCCTAGCTGGATCCTACTGCCGACCCCGCCCACTGCACTTTGAGTCGGGCCCTGCATGGGCAAGAGTACGACCAAGAAACCTGCGTCCACTAAGCCCGCATCCAAGAAACCTTCGCTTGCTTTGAAACAGTCGAACGAGGGGGCCCCGAGAAGCTTGGTGGCCCCAGTCGAGCGCCTCGCCGTGGGGGGCATTTGTTCTGGAATGGGCACCGACATCATGGCGCTCGAGGCCGTCGTCGGCGCGGGCTACGCAGCCAGGCACATCAAGCACGCATTCTTCTGCGAGAGCGACCCCGGGGCAATTGAGTTTCTCAGGGCAAACTTTCGCCAGCCAGTGACGTTCTTTACTGATGTGAAGTCTGACCTATCTGAAGCGCTTCGCGCCGCCCCTGCCTGTCCCCGTGGGCTCATACATATATCTCTCTCTCTATATATATATATATATGTACATATATATATACACATAATACATACATATATAAGTATAGATAGCAAGTTGGCGCAAGAGATCTCCCAATGTGCTTCCAGGGAACTCCGAAACCGTCGACCTCGACATTCCCAGCGCGGCCTTCGCCGGGGGACGCGGCGCATTTCACAGGACCGCCCCGCGCGTGAACCTCTTGACAGCGGGGCCCCCGTGCCAACCGTTCTCTTTTGCAGGAGCCCAGGGTGGCGAGGACGACCCGCGTGGAACTATATTCGAGGACATATACAAGTATATTCAACGTTGCCTCCCAAACGTCTTCATACTTGAGAACGTCAAGGCGTCGCGGCAACGCGACTAAACCCGCGGGCGGCCCCCTGGGAACCCCAGACACGTTTTGGTGGCCCGGGCCCGTCTGGAATTGAAGTTTTTTGATGAATCGTTTGCCCGGGGCATTGCGTGCAGCTCCCCGACCACTTTCGAGACCATCCTGAAGCTGCTGGGGTCTATCAAATTGGAGAATGGCACACCGCGATACATGATATCCTGGAGGACCCTTGGGTACGAAACTGAGGATGAGGACGAGGCCGAAAAAATAGACGAAGATGATGAGGAGGAGGATGATGATGATGTTGATGACGATGATGACAACTACGTAGGGAGGATAACGTCGACGACGACGAAGACGTTGACGATGGATGATGAGGAAGGAAACGCGACGACACGGATGACGCGCATCGTTAAAAATACTAGGTCGACCCCATAGGCGCGAAGATAATCGCGACTCGCGCGTCGTGGTCTGGGCTGGTGATGTGAACTTCTCGGGGGGTGTGAGTGGGGAGGCAGTGCGAGAACGCGAAGTCGACCGCGCGTCGGGCTTCGCGGAGCAAGATGCGCGAATATATAAGTGAATTAGCAATCGCACTGCATGACCCAAGGATCCTCAACACCCGCATCCACGGGGGCTTGCCCCTGAACCGAGAGCGGGTGTACATAGTCGGAGTCGACCGCGAGGAAGCCAAGAGCGCGGGGTGGACCGGTATGAATTGGCCAGAGACGATCCCGATGGCATCCCTGAAAAGCATCCTGAAGAGCCCGAAAGCCAAACCTGGGGCCCCTCTGAAGTGCCCAAAGTCAGAAGGTCTCAAGCTTAGAGTCAAGACTGCGGTGCACGAAGCTCGCGCTGCGGGCCTGGACCCCCTGACCGACCCCATCGTCGTGGACTACCACGGCTGCAGAGACCACTGGTCTTACGGATACACCCTGTGCATTGCGGCTTCCCGGGGGGCTGGCAAGGGCTATTGGATCGCAACGAACAACCAGGGCCCGATCACAGTCCCCGACATGCTCCGTTTGCAAGGCATGGCCCCCTCGCGCATTAAGCAGACCATCCCAGATTCGGCCATGGGGAGCTTGATCGGCAATGCGTTCACACAATCACTCGCAGGAGGACTCCTAACTGAGGTCCTGCCTGCATGCGGCACGGCGCACAGGCACCGCGCGCTTCTGGGCGCCTAGGGCACGAATCCCAGCGATGAGTCAGGCGAGCGGGACAGCCGCCAGGCCTATTTTAATAGGCGCGGGGCGCAACATACGGACTAGGACGGATGAGGGGGGGAAGGATGAGGATGAGGATGAGGAGACGGAGGAGGGAAAGGCGGATGAGGAGGAGGAGGAGATGGAGTTGCGAGTTCGCTTTGGGCTGGCTCCGCACCCTGGGCGAACTGCGCGGTTTCAGACGCCGCCCCCTGCCCTGCGAGATCGGTCACTGGAAATCCGTGCTTCTTTTAGCCCAGCGCCTGTTTATTCCGCAGGCTTCCACCGACCCGAGGATTGTTTATTCCGATGGCTTCCGCCAATCCGACGCCTACTTTATTCCGCGGGCCCCCGCCAATCCGACGACCCCCGTGCGCGTGGATATCCTGGACAGCTTTGCTGTTGCACCCTGGGCTCTGAATTATTGCGCCTCAAGCCTCGGGCCAACGTTGGAACATTGGCCGCCGCCTATGCCCAGCCGCGACTTCGGCCCAGGAGGGCCAACGGAAACGTCGAGATGTCAACGACGGAGACGGCCCAATAATGCTCCAACATATCCCAAACCAAGGGGAGCCCGAGAGGGCCTTCAGGGGAACTCCAGAAAAGGCTTCGCGAAGTTCTCGAGAGCATGCCCCAAAGGCGTGTTCGACGCTAGCCCGCTCCCAACTGGCCTACACCATACACACATATGCACATGCAAGCTACACTACGTGTACACATACATGTATGTGCGAATGTACATACGCGTAAACATACTGGTTGTTTACAGACGGAACGAGGACGATATTACAGCGAATGCAGCCCGACTTGGTTCGGGGATCTGTGTCCAAAATACGCATGTACATATCGGTTTATATTACATGCAGATGTGCACGCATCGGACTCTATAAATATCATGTATATGTCTGTAGATATGTGTGTAACCGCATATGTATGTATACATCCACACGTACATATGAGCGCGTGCAAGCATGCATGTGCATGTGCACACACAGTGGTATACATCAACTTGTATAATATGATCATACACGTATATAGTTATGTGTCGATCTGTGTTTTTATGTACGCACATGTCAATATGTATGATTGTGGTACACAGACACGCGTGCATACGTACATATGTGCATGTGTATGATTATACACATATGTATGTGGATACGTAAACATGTATGTATATGTATGTGTATACCTGTATATGTAAGTATAGTGTGTATCATACATGTAAATATAGCGTGTATGTAGTTATGGTATATACATATACGATTATGGATATGCATTGAATATGTTGATATATATATATATACATGTAGATGCGCATTATATATATATATAAGTGTATATATATATATATGTTTGTATGTACATATATCGCATACGTATATATATCGAGCAGATGGGAATATACACATGTCTCAATCGCAGCGCATACATATGTATGCACAGGTGTATTATATACGCGCGGTTGTAAACCCATACGTATACATATACATACAGACATATCCCGCTGATCACGCGCTGAAAACATTAATGGTGCCGTCCGTGGTGTTGGGATGATGATGGCAATGTTGACATTAAGATGATTAATAACGGCGTGATGGTGATGCAACGAACGCGCGAGGGGTTCAAAGGGGGGGGGGGGGGCGGGGGCCTTCGGGCGCCCCCAAAACACAACAAAATCACAGGGATCACGCCTGTGGAGGGGTAGGAAAGGTGGCGGCGGCGGCCGAGGTCGCGACGGTCGCGGGCGCAAGACGAGGCCCGGCGACGCGGCGGCCGCCGCCCCGTCGAAATGACAGGCGCGGGGCCGGGGGCGAGGCCGCCCCCTGGCCTCGAGGCAGAGGCCGCGCGCGGCGGGCGGATCTTGCCTCTGCCGCAGCTGCGCGAGCTGAACGCCGACATCGCAGCCCTGCTTGCTCGACGAGATCGGGCTCGGGCGAGGCGGTTGGCAAATGACGGTCTGGCTAGCTTGAATTGGTTGCACGGCGCTGGGCGACTGCCTCCATCTGGGCCGCCCAGCTGGGCCACGCGGCGCCACGTGGCGGAGCTGCAGGACGAGACGCAGCGGCGGGCGCAGAATCTGGCGGCGAGCTGGGGCGGGCCTGCCTGCGCGGGGATTCGCAGCAACGTCTGGCGCGACTGCTCCGGTGCCGAGGCGGCTGCGCCCAGCTGGCCCGCGCGGCGCTGGCCCCTTTCTCCCGCGCCCGGCTGTCCGTCGCAAACGACCCGGCAGGCTCGCCGCGGGCCGTGGACTTGCTGCCGGAGGCGGCGCAGATTCAGTCGAGGGATTTCGAGGGCCACGCGACGCGTTCGCATCGGGAGGCGGGCGACCCTATATGGGCCCTGCTCTACGCCGCAAGCGCCCCGATTACATCGGCCTGGTCAAGCAGCTGCTGAAACTGCGCCTCGCGCGGCCGTCGACTGCCCGCCGCTGCCAGGTGGGCATCTTCTCCGCGAAAAAGAAGGGCGACCGCCAGCGGCTGAAGCTGGACGGCCGCCCGGCGAATCGCACGTTCATGAGCCCGCCCGGGGTCGACCTTGTCAGCGGCGACGGCCTGAGCCGCATCAAGAGGTCGGCGCCGCGCGGCCCCGAGCTAGGCGAGGAGCTGGATGGCGCCATGGCTGACCTGGGCACTTGGCTGGGGGCGAGCGACGCGGAAGGTCGCTTCCACCGCCTCACCCCCCCCGGACGACGGGCCGGGTCTGCAGGGGCACTTCGGGCACCCAGCGCCGCGGGCCGCGGGGCTGGGCCTGGCGCGGCTGGACGGGGCGGCGCTGGGCGGCGACACGCTGGCGCGCCCTCTGGCGCGCGCGCTGCCCACGGGCTGGGCCTGGTCGTTGTACTTCGCACAGGCGACCAACGCGCGCCGCATGATGCTGCTGCGCGAGCTGGACGGACCGCGGCCACGCCTATGCGGACGGACAACATCGGGGTGCTCGGGGCGCCCGAGGGCCAGGCAAGCACTGCGCTGGAGGCGGCGGCGACCTCCTTCGGCGGCGCGGGCCTCGAGGTGCACGAGACCTCCCTGGCCAACGCTGGCGGCGAGGCATTGGACGTGCAGCTCGACGGTCACGGAGGTTGCGCGCGGCCCGCGCCCACCAGGTTTCGGCGAGCCCGAGGCGCCGCGCAGGCGCTGCCGCGGCGGCGCGCGGCGAGCGGGCGCGAGCTGGAGATCGTCATCGGCAGATTCACTTTAAAGTTCCTGGGCCCGGTGCGACGGGGGAGCCCGGGCTGCTTCCGCCGCATCTACCGCGCCATCCAGCGGCACTGCTTCGGGAGGGTCGCGCCGTGGAGCAGCGCGTAGCAGGAGTTGCGGACCTTCGCGGGGCTGATGATTTTCCTGCATGCCAATTGGGGTGCAAGATAGATGCCAGGCGTGCACCAGTCCGACCCGACGCGTCGCTCGCGGGCTTCGGCCTGGCCAACTCGCGGTGGGACCCTCGCAACGTCGGCCCCGTTGGCCGCGCGCGCGAGCGGTCCCGCTATCGCCTCGGCGCGGGGGTTGCGCGACGGCACGCTGTGGAAGCCGCTGGCCTGGAGCTGCTGGCGGGCGGTGGCATCGCCGCGCCCGCGGCCCTTGCGCCCGAGATCCCCGAGGGGGAGGCCGCGCGCTGGAGCCGGGGCCCCACGTTTGAGGAGGCGCCGGCGGAGCTGCTTCACGCCGACCATCGGCGGGCGGCCCTGGCCGGCCAGTGGGCCTTCGAGGAGGAGACCCTCCACTTCGAGGGCCGCGCGCTGATCAAGGCGGTTTAGAGAGCGGCGAGCTCGCGCGCTGGCCACGACGGTCGGGCTCTCCTCCCGGGAGACAACGCGGCGGCGATCCTCGCCGTCTCGCGCTCGCGAGCGCGGGGCTTCAAGCTGCCGGCAATGATTCGGCGGGCGGCGGCGTGCTCGTTCGGGCGCGGGCTCAGATTCAGTTATAGGTCGGCCCCTTCGGAGTTCAACAGCGGCGACGAGGGGGGCAGGACATTTGCGCGGGAGCACGAAGCGGGCAAGCGCGTCGCCCATCTGTTGCCTCGAGGAGGGGCGGCACCAGACAGACGCGAGCGGGCCCTCCCAGGCCCAGCTCCGGACGACCGAGGGGCCGCCCCAGCGCGCCACCCTCCGGAGCCATCTCGGCTCGGGGAGGAGGGCGACGGCCCGACAGGGGCGGTGGCGCGCCCTTCGGTCGGCGGTCGGCGGCGCCCTTGGCTTGGCGGCCGCGGCCCCGCCGCATGCCCCCCCCGGGGCGGGCCGCCCAGGCGCGGGCGCCGACGCGGGCCCCGGCGGCGCCACGGGCCGCGGGCGGCCCCCCGCGGCCCGCCCCGCCAGTTGGAGCCCGCGGAGGACGCGCACGCTGAGCAGGACAGCTCGCGGCGGGCTGGACCGCCGGGCGAGCGCGGGCGCGGCGCCGCCGCCGGCGGGGCTCGAGCATTCCTCCTCGATGGAGCGGGGGCCGCTGCGACCCTGCTCGCCGGCGCCAAGGCCGCGGCCACGACCGCCGCTGCCGCCGGGGACGACAGCGAGAGCAGCCGGGAGGGAAATCTGCCAGGCCGCGGGCCCACCCGCGCCGACGCCCGCCGCGCGGCGGCGCGCGCGCGGCGCATGGCCAGAGGAACATTGCTGCCTGGGCAGACGTACCTGGAGGCCCACAGCGCGAAGGCGGCGACCAGGGCGCGCTACCATATGCACGTGGACGAGCTGATCAGCTTCGCGGACCAGCGCGGCGCGCCGCTCGCCGAGGATGCCGAGGTCGACGACTGCATCGCCAAGTGGATGAACGCGGAATTCAGCGAGGGTCGCCGGGCGTGGCGCGGCGAGAGCATGCTGGCGGCTGCGATGTTCATGTCCCCAGGGTTCAGCCGCAACGGAGGGCGACGGCTGCCGCGGACTCATCGGCGCCTGCGTGGATGGCGACTGCCGAGCCTGCCGATGAGCCGAACACCGCCCCCTTGGCCCACGTTGGCGGCGCAGTCCCTGCAGCTGGTTCGTCACGGCCGCGGGCTGGCGGCGATCGCGGCGCTGGCGACGGTCGAGGCGCACCTCCGTCCGTCGGAGCTGCGTTCGCTGAGGCGCCGCTCACCGCTGCCGCCAGCCGCTGGCGGGCTGACCTGGCGGGGCCGCCTGCCGCCCCAGAGCAGCGCCAGCGCGATGCGAAGCAAGGCGGGCGAGGCCGACGACGCGGCGGCGATGGGCCCACCGCGGACGGCCTGCCCCCCCTCCCCCCCGCGTTTTCAGTCACCTTGGCAAGGTGCCCAGGGGCGAGCGCCTTTTTCCTGGGGATTACAGCCAGTTCCATCAGATGTTCGCGCAGGCCGCGGCGGCGCTGAATGCCAGGACGGCGCCCGACCAGGGCCGACGCAGCAGCATCTCCATTGAGCGAGCTCATCGCGAGAGGAGCTTAGACGAGCGCGCGAGGCGGGGACGCTGGAAGACGGACGGCCAAGAGCGTGGCCATGCCAGCTTTGCTATCGGTTCTAGAGCAAGCCGCCTGCCGCATTGCAGTCGTGAACCACTACGCTCTCGGGGCGACCCACCGAAAAGCCGCCCGATTTGTCTTCGGCGGGGCCGACCTCGACCTGAGCCTCGTTGGGCCGTCCAGGGGCTGCGGCCTGCACGGGGCGCCACGGTCACTGCTCTTTCCCTTGAAAGAAGCACATGATTTTAGATGGTCGCAGCGCGCGCGAAGCTGCGACAGACCCTCCAAAGTTGGCTTGCTGTCTCGCTCGGGCGCTGTTGTCACCCTTGTGGACCGAATGGCATTCGATATGCTTCGCCCTCGCAATTTTGCATAGCGCGCGCGCCTCTCGGCTGCCCGTTCCCCGTGGCCATGAACTTCGGCCTGTACCTTAAAGGTTTGGGAGTTAGTGCGAATTTCTGCAAGTCGAATTGTGTCCGCGAGCGGCCCCGCACTTGAGCTCATCTCATCGATTCATCGGCGAATGCCAGGGCCCGTCTCGCAACTGAATGCCGTTCTCCGCCAAGTGGCAAAAAGAGCATGTTTGCGGGGATCACGCGAATGCTCTTCCAGCCTCGGCCCGTCGCGTCTGCGCAGAGGCTTCGTCTCCGCAGCAGATTCCGCCACCGTTGGTCGCAAGCCCCCGCCCGCGCCACCTTGACATTTGATAGGGTACTTCTGCAATTCGAATTGCGTCCGCCGTCGACCCCAGAGCTGAGCTCGTTCATCTCATCAGTTCAGCGGCGAATGCCAGGGCCCGCCTTGCAACATAATGTCGTTTTTTGTTTCCGCCAAGTGGCAAACATATCAGGAGCTGCCTCTTTGGCAGACAACCGCTTGAAGACCCTGAAGCACATCAACACAGTGTTCTCGGGATTCCAACGCCACGGATCAACTGGACCGTTGCGTCTTGACAATCCTGAATCATGCCAGAACGCCGTTCCTGGGACTTCAACACAGCGAATCAACATAACTGTTGCGCCCGATCATCCTGAACCTTCTCAAAATATGATTCCTGGCACGTAGAAGATGGGAGCCCGTGAGTATCTTGCAATCTGCGTTAACGAATGTGCGCCGCGGTCAGGCGAGAGCCACATTTGGAAGACCACCCGCCCTCCATCTGTGAAGCTCTTGCAACTGTTTCAAAGGAGTGTGCGCCGTGCAAAGGCGAGAGCCACATGTTGAAAACCACCCGCCCTCAATCCGCGAAGCTCTTCCGATTGTTTTAAACGAGTGTGCGCTGCGCAACGGCGAGAGCCACATTTTGACAACCACCCGCCTTCAATCCGTGAACCTCTGGCAATTGTTTTTTCAACGAATGTGCGCCGCGCAAAGGCGAGAGCCACATTTTGAAGACGACCCGCCCTCCATCCGCGAAATGCTTGCAATTATTTAATACGAGTGTGTGCCACGCTAATGCGAGAGCCACATGTTGAAAACCAGCCGCCCTCAACCCGTGGAATTCTTGCAATTGTTTTAAACGAATGTGCGCCGGGCTAAGGCGAGGGCCACATTTTGAAAACGACCCGCCTTCCATCTGCGAACCGGCTGCCTATGTTTAAGCTGCAGAGGCATGCATGATGAGGAAGTCTCAGGCGGAAGGCCTGGCCCGCCCTAAAACCTGGCTTCGGGGTGCGACAGGGAGAAGTTATCGATGAGGAAAAGGAATGGAGGTGTGGGCGGAGGAGGAGGGCGAGGAGAAGGAGGGCGAGGAGAAGGAAGAGGGCGGAGGAGTGGGCGGAGGAGGGTGCGGAGGAGGGCGAGGGGAAGGAGGATCTTGACCCCCTGGCGCGCGAGGACACGGGCCCGGCAACCGCCCCCCCTGGGACCACTTCCGGCGAAAATCCCCCCAACTTCCGGCCAGCGACGTGCGGCGATCCGGAAACGTCTTGACCGTCAGGGTGGCGCCCTTGGCGCGGGGCGCTCCTGAGAGGGCCGCGCCGTCGATGCATTCCCGCCTTCGGCGGAGGCCGGCGGAGACGGAAGTAGAATGGCGACGGGTCCGCTGGCGTGAGCAAGCGCGGGACGCCAGTCGGCATTCTTGCATTCCGGCTTTCTGGAGCCGGACACGTGTGATCTTGGGCAGCACTCTATTGGAGTATGATGAGGATGGGAGCGTGCCTTTGTTATGTCATGATGTTTGGGCACTTGGCCACGAGTGCGCCTCGCATCGCGCCGCGGGGCGGAGAGTGGGCAGGGAGGGATAGAAAGGAGTGTCCCCTCCTCGGTTGGAGTTTCTGCCTGCTGCCGACGTCGCCGTTGCCAGCCTGGCCATCGGCAATAACTGAGGGCGGTGTCTTCTCTGCTGTCCCTCTCCTGTACGCCTCCGAAGCTCGGCACGAAAGCCGCGTGGTTTCTGACACTTGGAGGGGAGAGGCAGACATTTCGTAGATATGTAGTGCGACGGTGGGGTCTGCCAGCACCGCCGTCGCACAGCCTGAAAAAGCATGAGGAAATGTGCCGTTTAAGTCGGAGTTTGGATCACGCGCGTGAAGAAAGTGTTCCTAATATTTCACCGCATTGTTTGGGCATTCTGGATCGTTTGTAGGCCTCCTGGCCTGTAGGATGCCCGAGGGAGACGTTGTGAGCGTGCATACGAGAGTGTGTGAGCAGGTGCGTATCGTCGCGCTCCTGCCATGGCCTATCTGGGGCAACGTAAGCCGTGAGATGGATTTGCGCGTTTGCACAAGAGGATGTGAGTGTCACTGCGAATGCTTCTGCTCTCTTTCGGGGGTGGACAGAACCCCCAACAGTGACACGTCGATTAGTGAATTGTCCGTTTTCGGTTCTCGAGAGGGCGCCGTGGCCGTCATTTTCCAGGCTTGCGCCCGCCAGGTTTGGGCCCCAGGTCGTTGTCACTAAACCACGTTTTGCTAAAGGGGGTTCTGTCCATCCCCGACTCTTGTAGCCTAGAAATGCATATCACGCACCATGTAGAAGAAGTGAAGGGTAAGGGGCTGTACGGGCGTGGAGCCGACACTCGTTGGCAAACCGAGCCCGTTGATGATCGACTACATCTCGCTTAAATATGGAATTACAGATCGCAAGAGAATCTGCATGGTCGGAGACAGGCTGGGTTGGGGGAGGCAGGCTGAAGAAAGGGGCTGTGAGGATGTCTGTCCACGCCTTACATGTCGTCGTGCCCATGGCTTCGCAATCACAGTGTGGTTTTGCACCACATCAAAGCAGTCGATCATGGGTACAAGTGTGTTGCCGCCGCTGTGCATTCTAACGGTCACAGGGTCGTTCGCCCTTATGAGCTCCCCAGCGTCGCAATGCCGTTTGACGTCTCATGCACTCCTTGATCATTGGTGTGTAACCAACTGTTTTCGATCATAATCTCAGTGGGATAATAAAGTTCCTGGTTATGGCGGGGATGATCAATGATTTTCCCGGGGGAAGGTGATGCTATGTTGGTGATGTTGATGATGAGGATGACGATGATGATGATGATGATGATGATGATGATGATGATGATGATGATGATGCTTCTGGGCGATCGTTTAAACTGACCTTGTAGATGTTGGCACAAGGCTGGCTCGAGAACGTTTTGAAGCTCGTGGCTACAACTTGTCTGCGCAAGAGACGGCATTGGCGCTTCTGGCCAAGAGACTTCCGTTGCGCACGGCCTCAAACCACTCGCCCACGCAGGCTCGGCATCATTCGGAACCGTCTTTGCACATGAGGCACTTGGAGCAGACCTGGGCGGCAGCGCTTGCTTCCTCGAAGGTGGCGTGTTTCGGATCGGCCGCCGTGGGGTCTTTGAAGGGTTTGGACTTGGCCTTGCTCTTGGCCTTGGTCTTGGCATTGGCCAAGTCGTTGTCGCTGGCCTCCTTGGGCTTGTTGATCCACTCGTTGCCTCAGGCGCACATCGTGCTGATGCTCACGGCGTTTGGCGGCCCTCGCCTCGGATCTCGCGCAGGGCGCGCTCGATCCAACGACTCGCCCACTGGCCGCAGGACCAGGCGCTGGCCTGGAACATCTCGTTGCTCTTCGCAGGGCAGGTCTCGCCAATGCCAATGGCGCCGAGTTTGCGGAGGATCCCCGTGGCAGGCCACATGCGAACCTTGTCCACGACTTCTGAGGTGAAGGGTGGGTTTCACTTCGTTCGGCAGCTCCCGAGCAAAGTGAACCCTACCTCCCCCCTCAGAAATCGTTGGATGTAGGTGTGAGTTCGCATCTGGCCCCTTGGGTCTGCTTGGTTTTCTCGGACGGTTGCTTGAGGGCGTCGCGGTACTCCACCGCGACGCCCCCGCCAATCCTCGAGACCTTGGCGGGCGTTGCTACAAGTGCCCCCTGGGCGAGCCCTCGAGACCTCCAGGATCCGCTCCAAAACGGAGCGAAAAACCGGAGGCACCTTGGGGTAGGGGCAACTGTAGCAACCGCCGACCTTGAGGTAGGCGTAGTGCGCGGGCGCCTCGGAGTTCACGCAGATCAGGACGTGCTCGGCCTTGTCGACTCTCTCGGCCCAGTGTTTCTGCTTCTCGGGTTGCTGGGCGGCGGGTTCGTCTTCGCATTGGCCCTATCGAGCCCAGGCGACGGTCACCGTGGGCTCGACCGCCAAAACGGTTTCGGGGACGCCCGCGCGCCCCTCGATCTCCCCCAGCAGCGCGTGCACTGTGCCCAGCTCGAGGGTGTCGCCCTTGACGGTCTGCTCGCAGACCATGATCGCGCACTCCTTGGCGAGCTCGGTGCGGCGAGCCAGTCTGGTCTGGCGCCAGTCGAGCTTGCGCCGCTTGGGGAACTTGTAGTCCTGCTCAATCGTGAACTGTGGCGCTCGGGATTCACAGGCACTCGTTAGCTTCCGCCTGCTTCCGCTTCGTGTCGCTTCCTCTTGCTTTCGCGAGCTTTCCGCCAACTCCCGCCGCTTCCGCCGTCGCTTCCGCTGTTTCCGCTAGCTTCCGCTTGCTTCCGCCGCCTCAGTCGGAAGCAGGCCGAAGCTAGCGCGTGCCTGCGAGCCTCCCAGCCTCGCTGCTCTCGATCTGGAAGATCGCCGCGGTCTCCACCTCGAGGACGCGCAGGCGGCGCGCGTCCTCGGCGCCCAGGACTCCTCGGCGACGCGCGCCACCTTGCCGGGCTAGGGGGAGTCGTCGCAAGCCTCGAGGCCTGTTTTCTTTTTGGCCTTCGCTTGTTTCTTGGAGTCCTTCTGCGCATGCTTCTTCTCCTTGAACTTCTGGGAGAAGCTCGTCTTCGCCTTCGGCGGCCTGCCTGCGAGCTTCGCCTCGGTCACGCCTCGGCCCAGGTGCTCGAGCGAGGCCTCGCCGCCTGTCTCGGCCTTCCTGCGCTGCCACCTTGCGCGCGTGCTTACCCAGGAGCGGGCCCGAGAACTTGGACGCCCACCTGCTCTCGCGCTTACCTGTTCGCTTGAGCCTGGCCCAGTTCTCAAGGGCGCGCGGGAAATGGATCTCCCTGATCCGCCCTTCTTGCGTTCTGAGCATGTCCTTCTGCTCGTTGGTGAGCTCGAGGTGCAGTTCTCGGAGCTCCAGGAGGCAGGGGTTCTCGCCCTGGTGGAAGCAGTTCCCGTCGAGGACGTTCCAGTCGGGCACGGACGGCGCGCCCTCGGGCCACCTGCGCGCCCTCCAGGCGCTCGCTCGCCAGGCTGTGCTCGATGCCGCGACCAGGCTCGATTGAGTAGTTCCGCGGCCCCACGCCCGTTACGACCTTGAGCTCGCCCTGCTCTGTCGGCCGCCGGACCGCGAGCATTTGGTTCGCTTGCACCCCTTGGAGCGGCACCGCGCCCTTGTTCTTCTCGCGGAAGCGGTCGCAGGCCTCGGAGACGCAGTAGAAACACTCGCAAGGCCCCCATTGGGTCGGGGACTGGCACTGCTTCTGGGGCTCGGCCTTGGCCACCTGGACCCAGTCCTGCTCCATGGCCCATTGCATCTCGGCCTTGGCCTCTCGAATCATGTCCCTTCAGCTTGCTGTGCTCGCGGGTGTCCGGCCCCTGCAAGAAGCTCGCGACGTCGGGGGCCACGGGCGCGTGGGCCACGTTCTGGAGCCACGCTCGGAGCGCCACTGCCTCGGTCCACTGGCTCGAGAGGCAGTCTGCGAACACGAGGCTCTGGCCGCGCTGCTGCTCGATGGCGCCGATGTCCCAGGAAGCGACGAGCTCGTCCGTCCAGGCCCCGGGCTGCCTCTACACGTCGATGGCCTCGAAGACCCTCGCGCGTTCCTGCTCAGGGAACGCGAGCAGAGCGTTGCGGCGGCCCTTGAGCAATGCCCCAGGGGGCTCGCCTGCTCGGAAGCGTTCCGTCTCGCCATCGCTCCGCTCGTAGGTGACGTCGCGCCGCCAGGTGCCCCCTCGTGGTTCATGTCGCTCACGCGGCAGTGCCTTTCGCGGGGGGCGAGGAGCACGCTGCGCTTCGCTTCTTGGCGGCCTTGGGGCTCCCCAATCGGTTCGAACCAGCCTTCGACTGCGGAGATGTTGATGAGGGCGATTCCCTACCTAGGCTCTGCCTAGAAGGGTTCTTACTGTCTATCTTAAGGGGGCCGGGCTGTGGGGTTCGCCCCGGGCGGTTCCCCCAGCATCCGCCCCGCGGTTCCCCCAGCTACGTTCCTTTAGCTGAGTGTTGCTTCTCCCATCTTAGCTTAGCTTATTTCATCTTAGCTTAGCTTAGCATCATATCAGCTCAGATTTATCTTAGCTTAGTCTACCTTAATCCTAGCTTCGCTGAGCTTTAGCATAGCAGAGCACAGCATAGCGTAGCATAGCATAGCGCAGCATTAGCATGGGTGTAATTCCATACCCAGGCTCTGCCTAGAGGGCTAGCTTAGCTTAGCGTAGCGCAGCGCAGCGCTGCATTAGCATTGCGTAGCATAGCATAACACAGCCAAGCATATCATAGCATAACATAGCGCAACACAGCATAGCATAGCACATCATATCATAGCATAGCGCAACTTAACATAGCATAGCATCGCGCAGCATATCATTGCATAGCATAGCATACCATAGCATAGCACAACATAGTGCAGCATAGCGCAGCATAGCATGGCATGATATTGCATAGCATTGCATAGCAACTAATGCTGCTTTCCTAGAGGCTCCAACTTCTAGGTAGGGTCGCACTGGGGTAAGTATGTACTTGTCCCCTGCGCTCGAGTAGACCTGGCCCCCTTGCTCCTTCATGTCGGGGTGTTATGGCAAGTGTTTGGCCTTCTCGGCCTCGAGGACTGCCTTGTCGCCCTCGGCCTGGGTCTCGCGGAACTTGCGGCGGAGGTTCTGGATGCGTCTCTTGGCGCTTGCAGCATAGATCTCGCTCTCATTGATGCACGCTTGCTCCTCGCCCCGGAGCTTCAGCCAGGGCGCGGTTGCGTCGACGGCGACCGCACTCGCGGTGGCCTTCTGGTGGGCGAAGGTACTAGCTATCAGTTGCCGTGGTAGTAGTTAAGAGTAGTAGCCGTTACGAGTTACTAGAATTAGTAGTAGTAGTACTAGTAGTAGTAGTAGTAGTAGTAGTAGTAGTAGTAATAGTAGTAGTAGTAGTAGTAGTAGTAAAATTAAAAGTAGTAGTAGAAGAAGAAGTAGTAGTAGTAGTAGTCATAGTAGTAGTAGTAGTAGTAGTAGTAGTAGTAGTCGTTTTAGTGGTAGTAGTGGTAGTAGTGATAGTAGTGGTAGTAGTAGTAGTAGTAGTAGTAGTAGTAGTTGTTGTAGTAGTAGTAGTCGTAGTAATAGTAGTAGTAGTCGTAGTAGTAGTAGTAGTAGTAATAGTAGAAGTAGAAGTAGAAGTAGAAGTGGTAGTAGTACTTACTACTTGCAGTAGTAATTCGTAGGCGTAGTTGCTCCTAGTAATAGTTACTAGTAGTAGTCGTAGTCGGGTTCGTAGTAGTGGTTGCTGGTCTACTAGATACGAGTTATTAGTAGTAGTCGTTACTAGTAGTAGTTACCAGTAGTAGTTACTAGTAGTAGTAGTCGTCCATTGAAGTAGCTATTACGACCACTACTACGAATAACAGATACGAGTATGACTACTACTACTACGACTACTACTACGACTACTACTACTACTACTACTACTACTACAACTACTACTACTACTACTACTACTACTACGACTACTACTACTACTAC